TGAAACAATCATCTTATTTATTAATCGATTTTTTTATAAATGAAGCAAGTAAAAAGTATTATATTTTATTGGAAAGAGTAATTTCATAAAATTGAATGTTTCTCTTTAACAAATAAATTTATTCAAAGATTTTATTCCAAAACATTGAATTCGCATTTTCTATACCTTAAATTAAGTTACATATTAAGTGTCATAAAAATATAAAATTTATTTATAGGTAAAGGAAATATTTAATTTTTTTAGGTGTCAATATTTAAATAAATACAACCAAAGGAATATCATGTAAATGTATAATGAATAAATATAAAATATATTTATGGGTGAGGAGTGTTTTTTATTTATTATTCTAAAAATATTTTGTAAATTTTATGATTTAATGGATCAGAGACACTTATTAAAAATATATGTACGTAGAATACTTAAAAAATGATATTTTATTAAAAGTAGTAATAATTTACACGGAAATAATTTTAATTCTAATTTTGAATTCATGGGTTCAAAATAAATAATTACTTTATATCATTTTTGAAACAAAGATTAAAAAATGTGAAATAATGAAAGAGAGTAAATTTAGTTAAATTGCCACATAATATTGCCACATGGCAAGCTCCTAATGTGCCACATGTCAACCTTTGGCTATGCCAAATGTCAAGCTCTTAGAGAATGGAGTCTCCTTTTTATATATAAAGGATTACTTTGTGTCTATAATCCTCATTTAACATAACCGTGCAAAATAAATGGGGATTGTAATATTCCCCACACTTGTATGATGTATTTATTGATGCTATTAATTAGCAATGCACAAAAAGAATTGTTATTGGTAAAAGAAACTACTTCCAAACTTTTTGCGTGACTATTTTTAAACTTTAAATTTAATATTTATAGAATAATCTTTCATATATTTTTATATACTCCCTCCGTCCCTCATAGATCTTCCCAATAGCCTTTTTCTTTGTCCACAATAGATCTTCTCATTTCATTTTTTAACAATTAAAATACCATAACTACCCCCACTTACTTTATTTATTACACCTCACCCACCTCATTTAATACACTCCACCCATTTTTCATTAAGGGTATTATGGTAAACTTTCACTTTTTTTCAACTCTCCTTAAAAATCACCAAAAGTCAAAATGAGAACATCTTAGGGGGACGGAGGGAGTAATAATTTTCTACCAATGTATGCCTTGTGAAAAGAGAGGGCATCCATGCCCCTCCACTCAATGGATGCCATGTGGATAAATAGTCCACATCATATTAACTTTCACAATTTGCAAATGATCCAATCTTTTTCCACCATCTAAACTCATCCCAAATCCTGCTGTCAGCCGTTTTCGTCCAGGTCTCGTTAACTCATTTATGGGGTAATTCTTTTTTGTTGATGTGTTATTTTGCAATGTTTTCCCTATCTTCAACACTGCACCCCTGTCTTCCCGTCACATACTCACATGGCATCGCACCAGAGACACGCCAGAACACCGGCCGGTCCTTCATCAGAATTTCTCTCAAAATCATCCCCAAAAGTTTCAAAATCAACCATTACAATTTGAGTTGGCTCATGACAATCAGTGTCACAGTCAAATTCTATTTCAAAACCAACTCTTAAAGTTTGACTTCTCTTGAGAAAATCAAGTTTTAAATCAGATTTGACCGCAAGATTTGTTCGAACAGTTTCAGTTTGGCGAGGAAAATCACATTCAAATTCAGAATCACTTTCAAAATCAACTCTTGAAGTTTGAAAATCAGACATCTTGTGCAAAGAAGAGGAACAACGAAGAAGATAGATTTGGTGATGGGAAAAAGGAGAAAATAGAAGCAAACGGACGGCAGCGATAGCCGGAGACGGAGAAGAACCCAACAAAAAAAAATCACGGGAATAGCTATTTGAGTTGCAGCGCCAAATTGTATGTGTCTCAATTTGAAAAAAACGAATACGGAGTAAAACGGAAGAAGGGTTGGGGAAGCTATTTGAGTTGCAGAGCCGATTCCGGATGGGAAAGAACCCAACGAAAAAAACAGCAGCAGCGATATGATAAAACGGAGACGGAGTAAAACGGTGGAAGGGTTGGGGGAGTTTTAATGCAAGCAAAACTATGGGCCCTTTAGCAATTTCAGAAAGTTAAATAATATACTCCCTCCGTCCCATAAAACATGGGATGTTTGAAAAAAGGCGCACTCTTAAAATGAGTAATTTTAGTGTTATTTTTTAATTATGACTAATCTATTTTACACATCTCATTCTACTCTTTTAAGAAGTAAGGGCAAAATTAAAAAATAACACCAAAATTATTCATTTTAAGAGTGCGCCTTTTTTCAAACATCCCATGTTTTATGGGACGGAGGGAGTAGAAAATACGGAGTATTAATATGACTCATGCCTATTTATCCACATGGCTTCATTGAGTGGAGGGGCATCATTTATGCCCTTTCGCCGGTATCCTATAGGTACTTTATGTGTTTGGACCCGTATTTTGACCATTAGTCGGGTGCTTCGTCACCCACTGCGGGGGGAAATGCGACGCTCGAGAGCATATGTTCCGGCATGGACTTGTGATTAGGGGTGGACACGGTACGGTTCCGGTACCGCCACCCCTTGGTACCGGTACCGTGACCGGACCAGCCGGTACCGGTTCTGGTACTCGGACTGGCAGTTCCGGTACCGGATCGGCCACCGATTCTTCTGCGGTTTCCAGTTGCCGACTCGCCGTCGTCGCCGATCTCTTCTTCTTTTGGCTATTGCTACGGAATAAGCTGATGATGGAGATGAGAGCATGAGGCGATGAATGAGTACTCCGTTTTCTTTTTTTGAGAAATTGGGCTAATGGGCCATGGAGTATTGGGCTGGGTCAAAGAATTTATTTAAACCCTTTTTTAAAACGACGTAGTTTTGCTTCTTTTTTTGTTCTTCGGAAACTGGCAATGCTTCTTCTTCTTCCTTCAATGTTCTTCGAGCGGCTGCTTAAGGGCGGCGGTCGGACTGCGATGGGAGGGCAAATCTGGACTAAAAAAAAGGTATCGGAACCGGTACTGGTACCGCCGGTGCCGGTACCAAAAAATGGGTACCGAAACCGGTACCGGTACCGGTTCTCGGAACCGGTGGAACGTCCCGGCCGGTGGTGACGGTGGCGGGTATCGACGGTACCGTTGCCAGTCACGGTACCGTACCGGTACCGTGTCCACCCCTAGGAGTGATATTTTTTCGTTGTAAAGTCGTAAGTTATCTTTTCAATCCTCAAATTTATGATTCCTTTTTATGGAAATATCAAATATATAGAAAATTTCTCCTTATATTTGAATGGGTATAGTAGTAAATAAAAATGTACGCTTTATTTTTATGTGGATTGGTTAGAAAAAAAATCCTTACAACCCAAAATTAAATTTGTCCTAACAAAGTAAAAAAATATATTTGCACAAAAATGCTTCATTTTTCAAAAATCCTTCATTTTTTAATCCTATCCAAAAAATGTCTCCTTTTTAAATTCTTACTCTCCTAACAAAGTAAAAAATACTCCCTCCATCCCATGAAACATGAAAGTTTTTTTTAAGATGGATGTGATGGGTAAAAGTATGATTTGATGGATAGATTCTTAGTAAGAAGGCATGATGTGACAGTTAGGGTATGAAAAAATAAGGGGTAAAAGTGATTTTTTAATAGAAATGAGAAGTGTTTTGTGTGAAGGATAAAAAAAGGAGGAAGGTTTTATGGGATGGAGGAAGTATATATCAAGGCCGGCCCCGAAAAATAAAAAAATAAAATTGGCCCGGTCCAAAATTTACATTTTGTGCCCTATTTTATATTTTTAGAATACTTTTGCTTTAAAATTATTAATAAATTTAAAAATATGGTGCCCTAAATTTTAAGGTGTCCTGTGCGGTTGGCCACTTTGCACACCATCCGGGCCTTCCATGGTATATATTTACACAATTTTTTCTTTTAAACAATTTTCAACTACTTACATAATTATTTTTTCAACATTTTTCCTACTCCGTAAAATTAAAGTGAGACAATAAATACTCGGCATAGCCCGTAGGGAGTACATAATTTGTTTATTACATGTTCCAATTTTTATTTGAACATGTGGTATACTTCTTCCGCCCCAAAATGGATAGCATTGCTACTATTATAGCTTCTTGATAACTTTTGTTTATTTAAATAAAATATTCTAGTCACTTCTTATTTTATAATTTATTTGTATGTTTTCATTGATTATTTGATAAAATAAAATATTCTACTTACTTCTTATTTGATAATTTTTTTATCTAGTTTAGAACGATATGATGTAACTAAAATAATTTAAAAAATGATGAGATTTTCCACGTTATTCAAAATATAACATATATCAAATACTCCTTGGTAAAGTAAAATAGAGAAAGATATGTTTGATGTGAGGGTACCACTGTATACTCAAGAGGCTTTATTAAATGCAATGAATCCAAAAAGCCTTTACTACTCTCTTCGTTCCAAAATATTTACAATGTTTGCTTTTTTCAGTAATCGTGAGAACTTTTGTTTATTTGTATGTTTTTATTTGTTATTTGATAAAATAAAGTATTCTTGACATCTCTTACTCCGGAGAACTTTTCATGTAGTTTTTTTATATGTAAATTTTATTTTTTATTTCTATACCTATAAGTAAATAAAATGAATTGAAAACACTTGATATTTTGCATCGAGAGTACAAGTGTGGCAAATATTTAGAGACGGAGGAAGTATATTGTTTTCGGTCTAGTTTGACTTTTTTGAATAAAACTCGACGAATTTTGGGCCTTAATCAAGTAAAAACAATAATGTTTATTAGTATAAAAATGATGTTAATGTATTTAACATGTTTAACAAGTTCAAAATTTTATTCGATTTTATTAATATGTGACGCAAATTGAGAGTAATTGATCGTAAAAATTTGTCCAATTTGATTTGAATAAATCCGGAGTCCAATACTCACGTAATATATACTCTCTCCGTCCTAAAAAGTCAGTCACGTTTCTTTACATTTCTATTAAAAAATCATTTTACCCCTTACTTTTGCCATACCCTACCTATCACATCATACTTTTTTTCTAATAATATACCCATCACATCCTACTTTTACTCATCACATCAAAGGTATTTTTGTAAAGTCAACACAAAAATAACTCTCCTTATTTTACCACTTTAGTCAAAATGTACCAATCTTTTTGGGACGGAGGGATTATATATTACCCTAGTCTTCACCCCTACCTAGCTACCCATCCACTTCTTCTTTAACACGTACCCTTGAATTCAATCTCCTCCACCCTTGAATTCAAACCCCTCCAGGTGCAACTCTCTCTCTCTCTCAGTGTGTGTGTGTGTGTATTTTGTTTATGATGGTAGAGAAGACAGTTACACAGTGGTTATTAATTAGTCTATCTGGGTTTGAATCCTTGACAACTGTGAAAAAAAAGAATGACTAGAATATGGTGTTCTTGCAGCAGCAGGTACCAATCCAATAATTAAGAACAAAAATACTACTAGCTAGCTAGTCCGATCCGATCCGGAGTAAAATGGAGAGCGAGAGTGATAATAACAATTACAGTGTCAGACTCTCTATCATCTACAACCTGGTAATTAGTTAATTACTTGTTTAATTTCTTCCGCCCATATATATATATATATATATATATATATATATATATATACCCTTCCTTCTTCTCCGATCCCCCAACTAGTTCAAGTTATTATTAGTTCTTGATTATGAAACATTTTCTTGATTGGGAAAAATAATAATGTGTATGTACTTGATCGACAAACAAATGATGAATGTATAGTATGTGGTTGGTGTTATACGTACGTTACGTAGGATGGGATACGGACGCATGTAAAGTGCAAGAGGGACATAATGTTGAAGGAAGTGTTGTTAGCATTCTGTGAGAGAAAACAGATTGACTATAAAGACATCTCTTTTTTCTATGACGGCAAGCGCCTCCCTGTCCGCAAGACCCCTCTCCAGGTAATTCCCTTTCTTTCTTCTTTCATATAAATTAAAAAAGCTAAGGAAAATCCCACTTTTTGACCCACAATCTCTTACACTACATAGCTTGGCATGAAAGATGACGACACCATCGAGGCATTCCGTCCCGTTCACGGCGGCGGTGGCGGCCGGCGGCAGTGATCGGCGCAAAGCCAAATGGAGAATTTAAGTACTTTGTACGCATGGCATGGCGGGATTGGCGGCGGCGCTCCCAACTAGCTAGCTTGTAGCTATTCGTACTGATTAATTATTGATTCCTCGTTATTCATCTTAATTACCTTCTCCTAATTAATTAATAATTTAACTTATTAGCTTGTTAATAATGGTTCCAATTAACTATATATGGATTGAATAATTAGCCTCTTAATTACTGCTGCCATCGATCAAGTAGTATTAATTACAGTAATTGGTTCTGGATTGTGATCGAATTGGATTAATATCTTTATTATCCTATGTGCTTTTCTTGTACTTCTTCCATCATGTAGTATTATAGTGTTTCTTTATTATTTACTTCTTTCGTCCTCCAGTTTTTGTCCACTTTTGACTTTTGAAACTGTTCATCTAAGCACTTTGACTCATCAAATTATCTCAATGTGTAAGCCTAAATATAGTCATGTGTGATATTGTTTGATTTGTCTTAACATATAGATTATTAATATATAATTTCTATAATTTTTTAATATACCAATTACAAGATAAAATGGATTAAAGAAGTGTATTGGATGATGTGCAAAAATGAAAGTGGACAAATACTATGGGACGGAAGGAGTATATGATTATATTTTCTTTACTTTTTTTTACTATTGTTGCATCACGGTGTTCGAAATGAGTGACGTTACGACTTGGACAAAATATTTGTTTGTTCGATTGAACTTTGTCTTCGTTGATGAAGAAAAAAAATAAAGCGTTTAGTTGCCACTTGGACAACGACGAGAGCCGCCAAAGATGTAGCTTGAGAAGAGGTTTGGGGGATGTAATAGAGTACCAAGTATTACTCTCTTCGTCCTAAAATGTTCTTCCCACTCACTTTTTACATAATTGAACTTTAATCATTTTTTTTATCTATTTTCATTAGGTATTTTTTAAAATAATATAGTCTTGTCAACACTTATTTTGTAGAACTTTTGATGTAGTTTTTAAATATATAAATTTTATTTTTTAATTTTACACCTACAATCAAATAAATTGAATTGAAAATAAAGTCGGTCAAACTTCGTAAAATGAACCGAGAAGAAAATTATAGGACGGAGGGAGTACTACATATTATTATTAAGTCACTACAAACATTATTAAACCATGTTTATAAAGCCATAATACTTTTGTATGAAATGTGCGGTATCAAAATAAGTTATCATACCTTCAAAAAAAAATTAAGTATCATAAATTTAATAAGTGTTGGTTATTTATAGTTTACATTTTCTATTTTTTTGCTAAAGAAAAAGATGACTCTCATCCGCGAGGTTCTCTTCAAACTCGTTCGTATGTTTAACATAGTTGTCTCTCAATACAGTTACAAAGAACGAATATGATTGAACTAGGAATTTACGCTTAATTGACACCCTCTACCTTTTACCAACTGAGTAACATCTACCAGTATTTTTATTTTTTTGAAAAAATATTTATAGTTTACATACTCTCTCAGTTCCGAAAGAGATACCACTTTCACTATTACCGCATTTCGATAATATTTTTTATTTATATATTTTCATTGATAAATTGATAAAATGAATATCTTTGTAACCTATTATTTTATAAATTTTTTTATATCTTTTTAAATGATCTACTCCGTAATTTATATTTTTATATCAATACTACTTTCTTTATACGGAGTAAATAAAAAGATTTTTAAATGATAAAAGTTCAAACATGGTTGGGACTTGGGACTTGGGAGTGTGACTTAATGACTTATCAGTATGAGAGGAAGGAGTAATAATTGGATATCTCATTTTGGACTGGGGCCAGTAAATGCACGAACAACAACCCCAAAGTTAAATAGTGTACGGGGTAAAGCTAAAGAGATGCAAGAGAGTGATGTGACGTTACCTGCAGGTTGTTTAATTTCCATGTTCTCATTTACACGGAGGATGGAAATATATAATTTCATGTAAATTCCAACCGCTCCCCTGTTATAGATCGTTTTACATATTTAGTCTTTGCATATCAAATATTACTAATTAGTCCCTAATTATTATATTCATTTTCACGAATGGTTCTTTGTTAACATTTTCCTTAAGAACGTATATAAAATTGTAAATTCATACTTCTTTCTCTCTTCAATTAAGCTTCTTCCCTCCCCTCGTACTTCTTTTCCAAACTCGTCGCTGAGTTTGAAGCTTTGAATCCAAAACTGAAATTTCCACTCTTCTCTCAACTGTTTGTCTAATTGATGGAATCCAAATTCAAAAACAATAACCTTCATGGACGAGTTTTAATGTTTATTTTCTTTACAATTTCTTAAAACTAATTGATAAAACTCATACATAAAGTTTATTGGTTTTGATTTTAGGTTCCACCAAGAAGACTACAAATTGAGAGAGGAATAATCATTTTGGTTTTGAGTTTAGAACTTCAAACTTAGCGACGAATTTGAGAAAGAGTATGAGAAGAGGGAGGAAGCTTAATTGAGGAGAGAAAGAAGTATGAATATACAATTTTATCCATATTCTTAACAAAAACGTTAACAAATGACCATTCGTAAAAATGATATAATAATTGTGGACTAGATTAGTAATATTTGATATATAGGGATTAAATATGTAAAATGACCTATAACTGGAAGCCTTTTATAGAATTTAGTCATTTACTCAAATTCCAATGCATATCACACTTTAAACAACATACGGAGTATAAAATTTCATTATTTTAAAAATTACTTTTATTTTAATTATAAACTAGTATAAAAACAAAAGGTATAAACTATACTATTCAAAAATATATCAAAATTTCTACTTTCTGTGTCTCTGAGTATTTGTCCAGTATAAATTATACTGTTCAAAAATACATCAAAATACATCGCATCATGTTTGTCGTTATATTTGGATATTTATGTTAATTTTTCATTCTTGCATTTATTTTCTTTCATTTTTTTGTATTTGCAATTTTCTAATATTGTACATTATTAGAATCATTATATATATGAGAAAACATTGCATTCTCATTATCAAGATAAAACATAATGCATTCTCATAATCGAAGCTGATGCATTGATGATGAACAATCCTTGCATAAATATGATGCATTTGTATAGTCTACATAGTGCATTGTCTACAAACAATAATACATTTAAAATGTTTTGTGACACATTTAAATGTTTAGAAAGGCAATGAAGGATGCAAATTTTAAAAGATTAAAATACATTTTAGTAAGTCCAAGTCAAGATCGACGAAGGTTGCTAGGAGCAACGAACTCCATATCGGCGATGGTGAAGATGAGGACAGCGAAGGTGATGGTGGCGACTTTACAAATCTGGGAGTCGTTTGATATCTAAACTCTAAGCCAACAGTTCAGTGGTTCACATGGGAGGATGAAGAAGGGTTGCAGATTCATTTTGATTTCACTCTTAGCAAAATGAACGGTAAGTTAGTTGAGAAATGAACATTATTTTATTTAAGAATGAGTACCACTTCGTTTCAGAATAAATACTACGTTATTCGTAAATAAATATTATAATTGTATCAAATAAATAAATATATATATATATATATATATATATATGAAAATAAGTGCTACATTATTTCAAATGAACACTGATATTTGTGCGAAATTGAGTATTACCTTACTTCAAAATGAGTACTACTCGGTTGTACCTTACTTTTAGTACATATGGTTGTACCATATACAGACTCGGTGAAGATAGAATGATGATGTAATTTTGCATACATTTTGGTGCACCTCAAACATTTTTTTATACATTTTAAAAAACAAAAATAAAAAGAAAAATAACGAAAGTAACAATTTGGGGAGAAACTACATTATGAGTAAAATAAAGAAAAAATATTAAATTAAGAGTTCAATATTTTTATTTTCAAAATAAACATTATAATATCAATAATATCAACCTATTGTAATACTATCTCCGTTCCCAATTTGATTACAAATTGCGAGTTACAGAGTAAAATTTCTTACTTTTTGAAATCATTTCATTTTCAAATTGATATATCAATAAGATATAAAAATTATATATTAAAAAACTACGTCAAACGTTCTACAAAACAAGAGATGACACGAATATTGTATTTTATCAAATAGTTAATAAAATCGCGTAAACAAACAAAAGTTATCGAGAGGAGAGAACAATTATAATCTATTTAAGAACGAAGAGAGTAGAAAAATACTCCCTACTATAGAATACCATTATACGGAGTAAAATGCTATATCATGACAATGCAACTTTTGTTTTGGAAACAAAAACATGCTCCCTTCCTCTCTAAATAATTTATACAATTTATTATTAAAAAATTACGAAATTTTTTTATTTGTATATTTTCACTGATTATTTGATTAAATAAAATATTCTTATCACTTCTTGTTATGTAGAATTGTTTATGTACTTTTTATGTTCATTTTTTATTTTTATACTAATCTTTAAATAAAATAATTTGAAAAAACTTGAAATTTCTATTAGTTTAACATATAAAGTAAATGATTTAAGAACGGATGGAGTAAAACTTTTTTAATTTGATAATTTCTCTCTCCTATTTTTTCAGCCGAACGGGTGGTTTTCATTACGGAACGGAAACGAGTCGCCAGTGCCATTAGGAAGGTTTCTGAACTTGAAGTTCAGCGGAGAGATTGAAAATTAGGGTTTTGGGTGTCGCCCTTAATCAACCGTCCTGCGCCACTCGCCGTCTGTGAAATTCAATCTGGAATGTCGATTAGACAGGTGCCGATAACTAAACTATTCATATATCTGGTCTCCGCTAAGCACCTCTCGCGAACACCAGCCGCCGCCGCCGCCAGATTCTCAAGCGCTTCATCGACGGCGCCATTTATTCCGATCTTCCAATTGGGGAATGGTCGCGGGTACCACGACGGGCGGCCCAGAGGGCCATTGTGGAGAGGGAAGAAGATGATTGGGAAGGAGGCTCTGTTCGCGATACAAGGCGTGAAGAGATTCAAAGACGACGAAGAGAAGCTCGACAAGTTCGTGAAAACCCACGTGCTCCGGCTTCTGAAAATGGACATGATTGCCGTGCTCAACGAACTCGAACGCCAGGAGGAGGTTTCTCTAGCAGTCAAGGTAAAAAAATCAAAGTTTTCTGTTTGAATCCGCCGCAATAGCTGGTTGATTTTCAGATTTGACAATGGAAGTGTGTGCTCCTTCATCAGATTTTTAATGTGATCCGGAAAGAAGACTGGTACACACCTGATGTTTATCTGTATAAGGACTTGATAATTGCACTGGCGAGACGGAGAAAGATGGAAGAAGCAATGAAGTTATGGGAGAGCATGAGGAAAGAAGATCTATTTCCTGATTCACAGACATTTTCTGAGGTGATTAGTGGGTTCTTGAGGGATGGATCTCCTGCAGACGCGATGAATTTGTATGAGGAAATGAAGAAATCCCCATACCCTCCAGAGCAGATGCCTTTCAGGATTTTGTTGAAGGGGCTTTTGCCACATCCCCTGCTCAGGAATAGGGTCAAACAAGACTTTGAGGAGATTTTCCCTGAACAGCGCGTTTATGATCCTCCTGAAGAGATTTTTGGATTAAGCTGATCAAGGTATGCATGTACGTATGTATGCTTAATCTTGAATCCATTGTATCATTTCCTTCCAGTAAACGAATGCAAAACTGTACTCCAGATAATGATACTTGTATGAATTTGAACTCGCCAAAAAACCTACTTTTATGCTCTAGAGACGAAGTAGCAACAATAAGAGCCTGTTTGGTAGCTTGGTTTCAGCTAGTTCTACTTGTACTAGAATAAGTAACTCATTTATTTTCCTCGGTAACACTCTAATATTTACTTGATAGTTTAATACCCACAAACTCAACCTGGCATGTGCTTGTTAATATTCCCTGCTAACAGCTAATTATTAGTAATATCTTTACTTTTGAAATGGGATGACATTATTTTCGTTGCACTTTAATCTTCCTTAACACACAACAAGACAGTTCGTTTATGCATCTACACGATGGGGATACAGCCTGTGGTAATTGGGGGTAACATAATCTTTTGGGGTTTTATTGTTTGTTAGGGGCTTTTTCGGAAGCAGCCTCTCGACGTATTGGAGTAGAGGTATGGTATGCATTCATCTTGCCCTCAGACGACACTCTTGACTGTGATACAGTGAGTCTGTTTGGCTGTGATGTATCCCAACCTTTCATTTCTCAGTAGTGACAATCTTCTCACTGTTGTTTGTAGGAAAGTAATGGCAAACTTATTCAAACCTAACCGATGCAGTTTGTACATTGTAGCACCCCCAGATTCGGGAGAGAAGAGAGGGGGCGTTCCAAGTGTCTGGTTTCTACATGGGCAAAAAAAAAACGCGTGTCAAATCAACTGAATATTTGTTTGTTTCCCAACTTTTCTGCTTCTCTTGGGAGGTTTATTTATTAATCAAAGTTTGTGACAAGTGAGAATGCCATTTCTTTGTTGTTGTTGTTGTTACAGTTGGCCGTTTCATCCTTGCTTATTAGACAAGGTGGTTTATATTTCCGACTATAGGAAGCTATTGGAAAGCTATTTGATGAAAAAATGAGCATATTTTTTTTAGTACTTGCCAGCATATTAGAAATTTCTGCTCCGTGTTTGAAAGATTCATATCTGACATTTATTTCTGATTTTTTTAAAAAGATAAAATAAAAAAAACATTCGAACTCATCTGGCTGGATTAAAGAGTTTCATACTGGATTAAATTTTAAGAAATTTAGATCACATTCTTTAAACTATGACAGGTCTTTGAAGGGATAGAGACGAACTTGGCTGGGTTAAGTCCATGATGATTTTAATGGAACCTCGAGCAAATTGGAATGGCCCGGTTTGAACGGGGTACTACATTGACAAAAAAAAAGGAATTGTATCGAGCCCAATTCGTTTTAAATGTCCGCTTCGGATAAATGGTTCCCCAAGGCAAATGTGTATCAAATTCAAATAACAATAAATCATACTCCGTATATAAATAAACAAACTTTAGTCTAATTTAGTTGGGAGAAATGGTTCAAGTCTTACTTTTACCCGGTGGAACCATTAATTTTTTTAATCTCTATTTAAAAAATATTATAATTAAAAAGAAGCCAAACAATTATTTTGGGAAAAACTAAAAAGTTGAAACAATTCATTCGAAATGATTCGAGTATTATGGAGTACTATTATTTACTCCGTACAATTTTAAAGGAGCAAGTCAGTCCGAGTATTTTGACTTTGAAGTCAAAATGTGACTCAAGTCTAAATTACTTGGGGGGACGGGACGGTGGCAATTAAAGGGAGTGAGGAGTGTTTGGGTCAGGATGGGATAATTTACTGGGGATTAGAAATCATTAATTTTTCAAATGAGATACCGAAGCACCAAGGGGTTAAACATTTAGGAACCAATCCCAACATATAAATTGGATTTCCCGACTCACCAATCCGTTTTTATTTAAAAAGAAACAAAACCAACCAATTGGGTCCAGATTACCCACAGTTTCAAGCCCGTTTAACCCACGCCTATGTCCAGATTACCCACAGTTAAAATAGACTAGCATCACTCTCGTGCGTTGCACGGGTCATACTTATATTACTAAATTAAAATCATTTTTGAAGGATACAATTTCTTATCTAATACTCTCTCCGTCCTAAAAACATCTTCTCCTTTCATTTTTTCTGTCCTACAAACTCATTCTCTTTTCTATTAAAAACTACTTTTACCCTTACTTTTTCATACCATACCTATCACATCATACCTTTTTACTACTAATCTATCTATCACATCTTACTTTTATCAATCACATCAAGTGTATTTTTAGAAAGTCAACACCAAAATATGTCTCTCTTAATTTTCCAAAAAGCCAATAAGGGAATTTCTTTCGGGACGAAGGGAGTAGAACACAAAGATTTTATTATTTTAAGGTATAAAAGTTAATTGTTTTACAAATAATGAAAGACTTCTTTATAAACTACATTACTCGTATAATTTTTATATATCAAACTTTTAAAACATTTATTTATTTAAAGACTTCTTCATGATTTTCTACTCCGAAAGCATGAATCTTGTTTAAGAGCTCAAGAAAGTGTAAGTCATTCAAAAAATTTGAAAGAGGCTAATTACGAAAAGTGATTGAGAATGACTGTATTTAAAATATGAAAAACTTAAAGTACTTTTCTATTTCCATGCATCTAATTTTTTCCGGGTAAGTTATTATATAGTGGTTGATTGTTCAACATATAAAGGTATATATTATTCAATACATTTCCATGTATTAAAGGCACACCTCTTAAAACGATGTCTCCATAAAACGTTTGAGCCTGGATCTCTAAATGGAAACATTATTAAATTGAAAGCTTATTTGGTTCGAATTATTACACGATAATAATAACTAAGTACGATAATATTTGCACACAGTACATTATTATTATTATTATCCTTTAATGACAATAAATTAATATTGATTAAATACATTAATATTATTGCACGGTATATTAGTATTATTTTTTTCTACACGGTAATACATGATTTATTCTTGCTACAAAGTAATTTATGATTTAATTATTATTTCTATATTCAACACTTAACATATGTGCCACCGTTTTTATGTATTACTTTGACATTTTTTTATATTTAATTTCTTTTATTATTTTTTATTTTGATTTTTTTAATTGTGCCTTCCTTAAATGCATAAACTTATAAATTTAAATTTCTTCATAAAATATTTGGCACCGAATTTCTAAATGGAAACATAATTAAATTGATATCTTATTTTCTTAACATAATCACACCGTAATAAATTAATAATGATTAAATATGGTAATATTAAGTTTGGCCATGTTATCTAAATGGAAACATTTTTAAACTAAAAGCTTCTTAGATTAGAATTATTAGACGATAATAATGACTAAGTACGGTAATTTTATTACACAGTATATTATTATCATTCTTCTTACATGGTAATAAATTAATAGTGATTAAATACGGAAATATTATTACACGATATATTAATATTATTATTCTTGTTACACGGTAATGCATGATCTATTCTTATTACACGGTGATTTATGATTTAATTATCATTTATTTATTCAACACTTACTATATGTACTGTCATTTCTATGTATTACTTTGACATTTCTTTTAGATTTGATTTCTTTCCGAAAAGGAAACAAATGGTTTGTACATATGACTAAAATGGTTTGTATGATTAAAATGGTCTGTTTCTAAATTGGAAATTATATAAATTACGAAACTGTAAATTTAATGCATAGATTAAAAAATGTACACCTTAACGTCATTATTACCTTTTATGGACAAATATTATTTTTAATTGAATGGTAATTATTTTTTATTATATGAATTCCAATTTTATAAAAAAGTTTGGTATTAGAAAAGAAGTTTATATAAATAATAACGTAGATCTTGTTTGCGAAATTAGTCCCTTCCTTTTTTATCAGAATTAAGTAATTATGCACGCGAAATTTCCTTAAATTTATCATTCTATTATTCTTAAAAGTATTTCCTTTTAGTAATAGAGTGATTAAGTAAATAATTACCTATTTAATTAGGCATAAATAATTACTTTTTGATAAAATAATTAGGCATAAATTATTCCAAGTAATAATAATAATAATAATAGTAATAATTAGGCGTAAATAATTACCTATTTAAAAAGGAAACAAAATATAAAAAATCTTCTGCACCGTCTCTTCCTTTTTTATCACAATCAAGTAATTAGGCAAATTAAAATTGGTTAGGAAACAAATTAATCCCTTCCTTTTTTATCAGAATAGAGTGATTATGCATTCAAAATTTTCTTTAATTTATCATTCTAAATAAGTAATATTACACAACCAATCATAGCCGTAGATCTTGTTTGTTCCTTGATATCAACGGTGTAGGAGATGAGTGCATTGGGCGGGAAAATAATTCCCCTGCTTTTAAGAATAGAGTGATTTACCCTACCATCAAAAAATTACTTCCTCCGTCCCATTTTATAATACCTGTTTCGATTTACGATGTGTAACTGAAATTATTTTCAAATCATTTTATATGACAAATGGTATATAATTAAAAAATAAATATTACGGAGTACATATTAAAATACTACATTAAAAGATCTACTCCCTCCATCCCCCTGTATTTGTCCACTTCTATTTTTACACATCATCCAATGCACTTCTTTAATGCATTTTATCTTGTAATTTGTATATTAAAAAATTATAAAAATTATATATTAATAATCTATATGTTAAGACAAATCAAACAAGATCACACATGACTATATTTAGGCTTACAGATTGAGAGAATTTGATAAGTCAAAGTGCTTAGATGAACAGTTCCAAAAGTCAAATGTGGACAAATACAAGGGGACGGAGGGAGTATAAAACTAGTAGAGGCAACAGTACTTTATTTTATCAAATTGTTAATGAAAATAGAGAAAGAAAGTGAATGAAGTTTGACCCTATGAATAGTAAACAAACATTATAATTTGGGACGGAGGGAGTACATTTACTATACGTATAACCTTTCGATGATTTTATCACACACCACACCACTACCATTACTCAACAACTAAGGCAAAATTGGAAATAAAATAGAGAACAAATATTTAAATAAACTATCAAGTCAGACTAGGAAAGTTACTTGAGTCTTCTTTCAGCAAAAAAATTTAAACAGGCAGCCTCATAAACAGGACACTGTTTGCTTGCAATTTCATGTATACATCAAGCAGCAGATTATTCTTACCTCTGGTTAAATTGTTGCAGATGTTCTACTCAAATATTGCCTGCGCTTCAATTATGCTGTGCTGCCTGAAATTCACAAAAACAAACAAACAACATTACCCTAGTGCCTCAAAAGCTCCCGCCCATTGCGGGAGGAGGGGTGACGGGGGGGATGTATGTAGCCTAACCCCTATGTTTAAACATAGAGCGCCTTATTCCGGATGACTCATAACAAGCGTCAAAAGTTGCATTGACTAATTGTTACTCCACTGTCAAAAGAAGCATAGATACTTTAAGAGCCATTTTGCTTTATTCCATCTTACTACTCCAAAGCCAAAATAATAGTGAATATTTGGCTCCATCGGAGAAGATGGAAGTGCTGGCTGGAAATCACATGAAAAAAACCCCTTGAAACCTCACATTCTCTGTTCTACTGTACTTAATCGATGTTTGTAAACATCCATATGCACCCGAACGAGGACTTGTTCATGTTAGACGGAATTTAAGTTCAATAAGCAAGAAAATAAAAAGAAAAAAAAACCATGAAGAGAGCGATGGGCGATGACTACAAAGTTAAAGTCACGTTTCTACTTTTGGCACACCTAATACCCTAAAAAGACTAATACCCATACTTATTCCACCCACCTTTCCTACCCGCTCTCATCACTTCCTCATACTCATTACCTTTTCAGGAGCAATATGGGAAGGACAATAATCTCAATATACCTTTATTATATGCCTTAATATGGTGTGAAGTCAATTTGTAACTTTAATATTCGTACGGAGGGAGAATAATTTATTTCAATTGATACATTGGATGTATTTACTTAAGTACTTGTTACAAAAAAAAATTGTTAAGTTACTTTCATAATAAAAATCCTTTTTATTGCCAAAAAAAAAGAAAAACAGAGTATGTCACTGGGCAAAGGTTGAAAATGTTTGACTAAAGAAAATCAAATGTGACCTATTAGATAGAGGTAAGTAAAATGTAGAGCAACAGAAGATTAGACTTACTGGTCATCCTTAGTGATGCGATAGTACTTCTCTGCATGCTGCCGTTGACCAATGAGTTGTGCAAACCGCTCATCATGGGTGATCACAATCAATTGAAAATTCTCCTGTCCCTTCCTGTCCTCCATGATCCTGTGGTTGGTCACGAAGTGAGTACACTCCTAACCACGAATTTTCCTCACCCCAAAAATGCAAACACGTAGATAGATATACTAGCACTACCTTACAAGTGCTGCAGCAAGACTTTCAGAGTTGGGGCCATCTAGGTTTGTTGTAGGTTCATCAAGTGCCAGTATCCCACAGTGTAAGCAAAAAGTTTCAGCTAATGCCAACCGTATTATAAGTGATGCAAGCACCTGATGGTTATAATTATCATCATTACCAAAACCCAATATACTTGGAGGATAAGTGAAAACGATACACACACACACCTACATACATAACACACACACAAGGAAACACTTGGAAGATAGCTGAAGTACAAAAGGATATATGTCCAGTTTGGTTTACAAAACCTAAGATAAATAATATGAATTACCTTTTGGCCAGCACTACACCTCCCTCGCATTTCAAGTTCTGTTTCTCCAGTTTGCATCAATAACTAAAAAAAGTTCAGCTCCAAGGGTTATTAGGTGACATACCATGCATTCAAAATGACGTAAATGCAAACTACATAGACTATGTATGCTTTAATATGCTTAATGTGAATGCTTTTCTACACATGTTAGGCCGTTAGGGGACATGAACTTACATAATTGTAGTTCTCTATTCAACAGTCTACGCCCGCAGGAAACTGTTTATCTTTTAATCATTAGTTGAAGGCAAATGCGGGAGAAGGGTGAATACATTTAAACAGACTTAGGAGGCTTTCAAAGGTGGGAGAGGTGAATGCAATTACAACCATTACGGCATGACAGCATTGACAAATCAGTATTACATTGCATGACAATTTAAGATGTGTAACTCATTACTCATCCTACACTCTCCATATTGGATATGTCCGCAGGGCTGTCAAAGTTGGTAGAGTTAGGCAATGAATTACACAATGTCATAAAATATACCCCTTTGGCCCCATAATAAAGAACCCATCTTCTTTTTTGCGTCCCCAAAAAGAACCCTATTTAATGAAAACAGGCAATATTCATTTTTCATAAGGATTGTACCTTACTCAAAATTTCAAAGTTGTACCTGGATGAAACTAAACCCTTTTTATGGGACAACGGCAGTATTTTAAAGCAGATTTAGACTAGATTGCATTAGATAACATAACGTCAAACCAAATTACACCTTGGTGCAAAACATGATACTTAAGATATTCATATATGGGATTGTCCAATAAGCCATAGTGCCCACCCCATGCCTTTTCCCGGAGAGAACCGCCTTGTGGCAATCTAGCCATAGGCCATATGGGTTTCTCAGTTATGGCGCAAGGCATACACAATGAGGCATAATGGGGCATACACAATTTTCTTTAAAAAAGTAAGATCAAGGTTATACTAGTAATTTAGTTAGAAAAATTTAAATGTTAAATTTACAAACCCTCGTCTATCAACACATCCAGTCTCCTCTTCGGTTTTCATCGCGTTCATCTCTGTGTTCTTTATATGTAACATTGTGACTTCATCTCTCTTTGTAGGTACTGATCTCCTCTTTAGTCTTCACTTTTGCGGCACCATTAGTTATCGAACAATACTGTTATCAACCCAGAACGACCCAGTTTATTTTTATTATTTTGTTATTGGGGTTCCCTTGCACCTCCCTTTGAGTCTCTCCTTTTATTTGTTTTCACTCATATATATTTGTTTAATGATAACATTTTATTCATACAAATTTGCTAATAATTTATTAATTTTAGTTTATTTTTTTACTAATTTGCCATTATAACTTGAAAACTGCATGTACATAAATTTTTAGTTTAATTTTTTTTGTAAAACAAATTGCTTAAATGTCGGCCTCAAGATTCGAAAATTTAAGTTTGTTCCCTACAACCAATATATTGTACTATGTCATGGTAGACTTTCTTGGAAACAACCTCTCTACTTTTAGTAGGGATAAGGTCTGTGTACACATACCCTCCCCCGACCATGCTTTTGTGGGCTGGGTTGTTGTTTGTCATAGTAGACTTTGTGTATGGATAAATTATGCTATTAATAATGTTCTATACTTCTATCTATAATAATAATTTATGCACATCTCACTATCTTAGTACTTTAAAATGAGGTTTACGCCTCAATATGCCTCTAGGCTTACACAATACGGCAAAACGCCATGGCGAAAAAGCGCATCAAAATTGCAATACGCCATTTCAAACATTGTTCAGGAAGTCTTTCTTTCTCACTCTATTGTCAGCTTTCTAGATGCTTCACACCCTCTGGCCTCTCTGATATTATAGAATAAATAAAAAATAAAACAAATACAATTGGAATAATAAGTGAGCTTTAAGTACCTTGTAGCTATAAGATCGAGTGCCAGAAACTTCAGAATCCGAATGAATTCTTATGTAATCTATATCCTGTCCCCTGTAAGTCTGCTGCCACAGCTCACGAATAATTTTATTTATCTCTTCCATCTTCATTGTGTGAAATCGCATGAGGGCCCTGAAATGACAAACCAAAGAAAAAGGTAAATAATTCAACAGAAAAAGTAAAGGCAGTTCTACCGTACACAGTACAACCATAGGTATAAGAATGCCGCACAACCATTTTTCAAAGGAAACTTATACGTTTATTAATCAGAAATGGATTGCTAATAGATGGAAGTTATGTGCATTGTAATAGCAAATGTGTTCATCAGTGCACTATGACTAAACAAAACATATATGCTCACTAACCAGAAAAGAATTGCTCACAATCTCGACGCAGATGTACAATACTCTTGTGTCTACGTGTCTAAGATAGAGTTTCCGCAAAGTAATTAGCGATAAATACCAAGGTAATTGAGTATAATAATAGAACTGCAATCACCACCACATAGCATGGATTGCTATAGAACATTGTTTTGTGTGATATGTTAAGGCCTATAAAATGTATAGCATCTCTAAATTAGAAACATTTCTTATAAAATTTCGAAAGACCTAATAAAATGTTAGAAAGTAGCCAAGAATCAATGTCACACATAGTACCATTGACAAATAAAAATACTAAAAGTTCAAGAACAAAAATAGCTACTTGCAAAAACAAAAAAAAACATGTTCTTTTACACAATAAATACCTCCTTTATGGATGAAACAAAAGTACAGAACTGCATGAAAAAACATGGAAGTCCAGCGATTTAAAAAACTGAAGCAGGCTAAAGAAACAAAAAGAAAATCTGAGAAGCTACTAGTGCAGTAGTGCCAAGAGAAGAAAAAAGAGAAGCCCAAGCAATTAAAAAAGTGATCGATTCAAAAATGAGGAAAAAATATGAAAAGTAACCTGAAAGAGAAGAAACACGATCGTTAAAGGGTGGAAGACTCGCAAGTCACCGAAGTCCAAGAAGCGGAAGGAGAGAGACACAATGTTGAATGGTGAAAAGTGAGTTAAGTAGTCAACCCTAGTCTTAACGTAATAAAATAAAATAAAAAACTCTGGGTTCCCGATGCGCGCCTTATAGCGCATCAGATCGCATCAAAAAATGCAATGATGTGAGGTTATGCACGCGCCTCCTGTACATTGCCAGCATCACACTATCTGATGCGCAGAACCCTACGCCTCGTGCGCGCTTTTCACAACTATGTTCAAGAAGCACCCAGGATACGTCAACCCGGAAAATGGTGATCGTCACAAAACCAGCCAGTTATCTCCTAACCCAGAAAACAGTAAAACCCAGTAAAATCTTCTATCCGACACTAACTGGCCATGTAATCCCCTCCCTGATTTTGTTATGTCTAAGCCTCTTTGACAAATTAAAATCCTTCCTTCACAAAGAATCTCAAAGATTGTGTGATATGTTAAGGCCTCTTGTGTTAAATTAAACAATACAACCAAAGTTAATCCAAAGATGTATAAATCAAGTTGATAATATTCCCAATCTGAAAATTATTATTAACTATATTTTGGTGCATGATTTATGTTTACAACACTTATTAAAAACATTATATTTAACCTAGTACATACTCCGTAATTGTATATACATTATTTTTTTATTTTATTGGATTAAATTGAACGGTTGACCTGTGATGCAAGTCACTTGGTTAGGTCTGACAACATAGGTTCATAGCAAATCAAATACCCATGGAGATAAAAGAGTTGTTTTTTACTCCATTTCCCTTGTTTCTTACTTCTATGAAATCTTGGGAGGTAAATGGAACAATGCATCAAGGGTCTAATGGCAAAATCCTCTCTGTTTATACAATGGTAAGGTTGCGCACATCTGGACCCCAACAGAATTGGAATTATATTGGGTGTGTTGTTGTCGGCTAGCATTTACAATTGAATGAAAAAACAGACTATGAAGCTTACTTATCAAGGGCATTGTAGTATCTATCCAGATCCTTGTTTGCCATCTCAGTTGTCTGCCAAAGAACAAAAATTTCTTATGCACTGCATAGAGTGTTGAGATAATTTTTTAAACACATACAAATAACTCAAATTAAGTTTTGAAGTACCTTTAGCTGGATCATCTGATCAAAATAACGGTTGTCTATATCTTTGTATTGTGCTTGTTTAAGATCATTTTCGTATTTGGTTAAATTCCTCACATAAACAGAGAGAGTACCATGGCATTTGTTTAACTGCAAATAAAAAAAAAAGCAAATGACTGTCTAAAATAGACAAACTTGGTAAGTTGTATATTTTCTGAATCCCCCTTTATGAGAATAATGTGTAAAACAAAGTTGAAAGATGAAAAGGGGGCTAACTGTTCCCTAGGCCCTAACTATATACCTTTAGCAGCCAATAAAAACCAGAAGAAACCAGATAGAAGAGACATCATGCCCAAAAAATGTTAACAAAATGTGGGTAGGAGTTGCTTTCAGAAACAATTTCTCTGTGGAACCATGAATTTGCAGTTGGTGCTTTTCAAGTAATCAATTATTGCAATAAAAAAATGGCTTAGCCATAACACACTTTCAAGCAATTCTTTGAACTCTCAAACGAATTTAAAACCAATAGTTAATAATTTGTCCAAAGCAAAAAAAATATTGGAAACTAAGGATTCTTCAGAAACCAAATAATGAAATCCAAATGTGTTCATGTTAATTGCCCAAGTGAATAATGATGCTAAGGGGCTGTTTGGCAACTTCTGAATAGGCAAGTGCTGAACCAGTAAGAGGTCTGAACCATTAAGCGCTAGTATATTGCTTAACTATTCAGAGGCAAATGTCTTATCAATTTAGATAAGAGGTCTTAACCATTGAGGCTTTGTATAATACTTAACCATTCAGAGGTAAATGTCTAAGTCATTCAGACATCTGAACCATTAACAGACTGAAACAAACCGTCTGAACCATTAAGTGCTGTCAGACATCTGAACCATTAAGAGGCTGAAACAAACAGCCCCTAAATGTGTCCACATTAATTGCCCAAGTAGATAATGATGTTATGGCCTTGACTAGCTGCGAAGCATATAGTGCATGACAGTAAATCAGCACTCAACAGAGTACTATACCTCTGAAAGAAGGCTCTCTCGCTCTTTCGAAAGCCTTACATTCTCAGCCTGGACCTTGGAAAAACCACCAAGATTCTTCACTTCATTTTCCAACAATTCAATTTCACCTTTAAGTCTAGAAACATCAGCCTTTGTTTTCCTATAATTCAAGTTATCCTCAATGTTGCGTCTCAACGGGTCCTGATTCATCATCAACTCATTGCTTTTGGTCAGTTCTTCTGATATTTCCTGCAATTTGGACTCGCAGTTTTGAAGTTGAGATTCAGAGAGATTTTGCTTTTCCCGCAGCTCCTTCAACCTCTCACCTTTCTTTTGAGTATAGTAGCTGCATGGAGAAACAGTCAATTTTCATATTGAAAAGAATAATCTATCTTGTATCATGTAAAAAACAAAAATTGCGTACTCTTCTATTTTAATAATCACCACGTCCAGTGCCTTTATTTCATGTTCAAAGTTTGAACAAACTTGCGACTGCTTGTAATGCTCGTTATCGACTTTTGATTTCAAATCATTGTACTCATCGTGCAATTTGTCTTTTTCCTTAGACAAAGGACCTAGAGCCTCTCGCAAATGCTGAAAATTCCACACGCCAACATTATCAACCATTTGTCCGAAATATACTGCCCCATTATTTTCTTCTCATCTTCTGTATTGATTGACCCAAAATATTCTTCCCGCTTTCTTTAAAAGAAAGAGTTGTGTGGTCGATATTGTTTCTTCCATTTTTAATAAGTGTGCCAAGTCAAAGAATGAAAGAAAATTTTGGAGAGTAATACTACTTTTATTTATTATATTAACATATCATAACAAAACAATTTCATGTCAAAAAATAACCAAAGCAAATGAAGAAATGCTTCTCAATAGAACCTTGACCATATAGTTGCCTTGTCATCCTTGAATTTATAATCCGGTTGATGGCCATTAAATGACTATTTCCAAATTTTAAAAAGATCATCCATTTTTTTAAATGTCCATGGCTCCATGCTGGTTTTCCATTCGGAACTTCAACTAACTATATACCATAATACACAATGAGTTAATTCAAATATAAGAAGTAAACATTAATATTTGTATTAAAAATCATATATTTCAAGAGATTGATGACCATACGTTCTGCACGAAAAGTGAAACAAAAAGTTAATCCCTTCGTCCTAAAACTAGCTTCTTGTTTAAGTTTAGGAGGTTTGACCGAAGTTATTTTCAATTCAATTTGTTAGACTATAAGTGTAAAATTTAAAAATAAAATACATATATTTAAGAAATACATCAAAAGTTCTACAAAACTAGAGGTGACATGACTATACTCTTTTATCAAATGACTAATGAAAATAGGTAAAGTCTGACCGTGTGAATAGTAGCTGAGAAGATAGTTTTAGGGAGGAGGAAGTAATAAAATGAATGGAGGTAGTAAATTTGTTTCCACGAAGTACTATGTGCAAATAACACTACTGTTGGAGAAATAAAAATACAAAATCTAGTTTTATCCACATGTCAAGTATAGTGGATATATGATTGATAGAATTGTGACCCATGAAACCAATATCAGAATATTAGAAGTGGGATTTGAAATACTGTTAGGGGTGAAACGGGGGTCTTATTAAGTTGATAATTTAGTGGCGGATTTGCGGAGGAAAATGGAAGGGAAATAGTGGGCAAAAGTATGGATGGTGTTTTAGGAGTTCTTTTTGGTATTTTATGGAAGAAAAGAATAGGGTTAAGAAGGAGAAATGGAGGGATATGAAATGGAAGAAAAATCAGGGATGGATAAAACCAAGTTGGTGTTAAGAGATATTACACACTCTTATCCAAACTTGGGGTTTGAATCTAGAATTTAATTAAGATATGACACACTTAATCAAATATCTAGAACCTAAAACTCACACTTAAGATAACCACTCTTAAGATATAGATTTAGGAATTTAAATAGCAAACACAACAAGTGTATTACTAAATGGAAAATGGAATTACAATGTGAGTCTCACAAAAAGGCCTAAGGCCGAAATAAATACACACACATAGGGGGGAAACTTCCCTGAAACATCCACTCACAAATCACAAGAATAATATCCATTTGTTTATGTTTTCTTAATGGAATGAAATCAGGGATTTGGTCTTTGATTTTCATGGCTGGTGGCTTGTCCTTTAGTGAGGAAAATCACAAGGAAATAAGTGATGATTCTTGGGAAATAATGGGGGACAAAGGGGTTGGTTTTATTGGCCTTATATTGGGTCATTCATGGAAGGTATGTGGGGACTGATTTGGTGGGTGGAGTGTCAATAAACTCACAAAAGTCTTTTGTCCTTTTGTTATTGTTTATTCAGCCTAGGTGGGAGACACAAGGGGGACAATGGTTGGTCAATGTTGGGGAATAAAAGAGGGGTTGTTTTTGGTCATTAAAAGGGGACAGGGCTGGGTATTATTTATGGGTATTTTGGAGTTATGGCTTTGGGTTACTGTGAGGGAAAACATGGGCAGGAAGTAGGGGCTGGAGGTGGGTCATGGTTTTGGCTCTTTGTCGGTGTTGTGTTGGGATTGTGAGGTTTATTTGGGCAGGGAATGAAAGGAAGGAAGAGAGGGTTTTACTGGTTTATTAAAAGGCTTAAAAGAAGGAAAATAACAACAAACAAAAAGGTTTTGGTTTATACACTCTTATTTTCGGCCATGGCTAAAATAAGAGTAGGAAAAACTTTATTTTGAAAAGGAAATATTTTGGATGTTTTGGGATGGTTTGGACTGAAATGGGAGTAGACCACAGAACCCTCGGGTCAAACGGAGGTTGTTTTGGCCTTTCGGGTTTAAGGACCATTTGAATTCAACTAAAATGGATCATAATATTTGAATATAAGTCCTTTGGTTCTTATGATAGTGTAAGGCGTGAGTGAGAGTTTCATGGGGCTAGGCTCGGGTATAACAAATACTGGTAAGAAATATAAGCCATCCTGAAAGAAGAAACAGACAATGCTTACTTTTAACAAATGTCAAACATTTATATTGCAGATCCTTTAGGTAAATCTGAAGAGTAAGGAGTGGGAATTTCAACCCCTGAATTCCATTCCTCTTCAATAAAGCATTATAACCTTTGATGAAAAACTCAGCATTTTAAGTTCAACTTTTCCTATGAATAGGTAATATTACAACATTAGTATCACTAATTCTTAGGACCAAGAAGAATTACTATCTATGACCTCTAAAAAGGGCACTTTTTAAAGACCTTTTGTCCCAAAAAACAATCAATTTTCAACCCCAAAAGAAAAAAAACTTAATTTCATTATATCCAATATTTTTACAGAGTATTATAGAAAGTAGTAAAACACTAAAACAAATTGACTTTTCCATAAAAAAATACTCTTTAAATCAAATAAGATTATGCCCAAAAATACTAGTAATACTAGTTTTACCTTTTCATCAAGCTCAACTTGACTTTTCTCTTCTACCAACTGTTCCAATTCGTTTTGTACGGTCTCTACACTTTGCAAAGCAGAAGCTGATTTAACTTTTTCTTCCCTGATGGCAGCCAATCTAATTTGTGCACTGTTGCGATCATTTTCCATGTACCTCTGCTCTTCCCTTAGCTTTTCTACCTCATTGTGCAAAGACTCCCTGGGCCAATTTAAGATTGGAGGAGTGATTATAAAGCTGCTGACTTTAATGCTCGCATGCCATCGCCATCACAAATAAAAGGCCAAGAAATACACACTGCTTCGTTTGCAGAGTAGACAAGCAAATATACCTCTTGGTCTCCAATGCGTTCAACTCTGATTGGATTTCCTCTATGGATTTGACACCCTGCCCACGGGAATCAAGCTTGTATTCCAAATCATCAACCTCTCTTTCCAAAACTTGTATTTCAAGTAAAAGCCTTTCAGCATTTTCAACAGGTTGACTTAGGGCATCCACTAAGCTCTTGTCTTCTTTTATCTGAGCCATGACACACAACACCTGCCAACGAGGTAACCAGAGTCAAGTTTACTGACAAAATGTACACTGTCAAGTACTCAATGTTTTATCGAAGTGTTATGAAATGCCACAGAACTCTCTTTGTATATGAATGGAAGAGTAATAAGGTTAATCTGAATCTCTTTATTTCTTCACAAGGAACAATGTGTCCCAAAAGGAGTTAATATTGACAACATTTCCTGTAAATGATGAACTAAATTACAATGTTACATTAAACTCTCTCTGCTTCTAACTTATAAAATGTTGGTTGGTAAATCCCGCAATGCAGTTAGGGTCAAACATAGAGTTACATGGGATAAGGTAGTGTACATCTTGACTCCCCACCCAAAGACACAAATGAAGTTTGGTTTGCATTAGGTTTTAAAGTTATTGGTGCAGCTGAACAATTGAGGTTCATATGAGTTGAAATAAAAAAAATGTGTTGCTATTTCATGACATCCTTGCCATTCAAGAAGTCTAAGGCTCAACTTGTTTAAAACAAATCCCAAAGATTGTGAAAACATTTAATTGTTGGCTACATAATATGCAAATTGTGTTGCCTGCCTCTAGGCCCTAGAACAAAAAGAAGGCATTTGGGAATTCCGCTTTCTTTGGTGGTGACTTTGGCCTCCTCATACGGCCACCAGTTTTGAGGGGAGCCTTTGCGCTTTAGAAATGAAACATTGCCAACAGCTGCTTTTTGCAGCTGTTGTTTTCCCCTAGCAAGGACTCCCACTTTTCCAAAAATATTTTCAACTTTTTCTAAAATACTACGGGGTATCTACTTTTTAACTTGAGTATTTGCCTACTTAAAAAATACCCTTCCAGTAATTATACATCACAACAGCATCAGCTCAAATGAACACCCAAATCTAAAACTTCTCAATGGCCATTTTTACAGCAACAGCTGCAAATAGATGAATCCAATGCACCCTTACTCTTTTCAGTATATACAGAAGTAAGAAACACTGATTTGTACAATCAAATTATGAGTGGCACTTAAAAGAAGTGGAAATAATAAAGTAAAAACCATCTTTTACTGAATTGAAGTTTTGCAAGCTTAGGAGAATGAAGCACATTTTTACAATCAAATAGTGTTACATCTTTTTACCGAATTGAATTTTTGCAAACTTAGTGTTTCATGAATGTAAAACACCTTTCTAAGTTCGCTGTTATTCTGTGTTAAGAAAAAAAGGCTGTAGAAAATGGTACTTCACTTGCTTTCTGGTACAACCATTGGAAAATATACTAACCAATTCTCATTGAGTAGAGGACATAAGAAAGAAATAGAAAGCTTTGAACTCATGATGAAATACTACAAGGCTAGTGAAAAAATGTGAACAGTTACAAAGACGCGGTTTAGTTTGTTCATGAGTATTCATGCTTAGCAAGCTCAAGCAGCCTTCAACGTCAATGGTAAGCTAGGAGCTATGATGAAATACTACAAGACAATTGAGAAATTGCGAGCATATAAAAAAAGGCAAATTTTTTTTTTAAAGTGTATTTGTAGTTTCATACATAATTAGTTCGGGCAGGCAGGTAGTGTACAAGTCATGTTGATGTGTGGTACTGTGGTGGTCACATATGTTCTATTTTAGAGAAGGAATACTTTTTTGTCCAATGCCTCTCTCTTCAGTTTCAACAAAGTTCAAGCTATTCATCATAATTGTTCTCTATAATTTCAGAATTTTCTTAAAAAAATATAATCAGGAACAAAAGTGAAACAAGAATAAATGGTGCCAAAGTGAGAGTGTGAGACATGTAGTTCCTGGAATCTAGAGCAAAATTCATGAAAGTGCTAGTTTTAAGCATTAAGCAAAAGTGCAGCACTGCAACTGTACAGCATCTGAAAAGTAAATTAACAGATACCAGTGTGGTAAATTACATCATCAAGAGCTTGGTTTTTTGTCTCCAACTCTGTGTTGAGCTCACTCAACTTCTTCTCTAATATAGGAATTGATTCCTCTCTAATTTTGATGTACTCTTTATAAGTCACATTGAGATTGTCTAATTGCTGGAACTGAGAATCAGCTCGTGAAGACTCCATGGCCAATTGATTCAAATGCTCAGCAGTGTTTGCACCCTTCACCCGTTGCTGCAATGACAATTAGAATTCAAGTGTCTTAATTCTGCTTGGAGTAGCGACACAAATATAACATATATTACCAAGAAACATGCATAAAAATGACACTTCATTCTCAACTATAATAGACTGCAATTTGCAAAGACTTAACCTTTTTAACAAAATCATCTTCCTCTTCAGCAGAGAAAAGGCGCTCACAACACGGGCAAATATGATGGTTGCGAGCATAATTTTCAAATGACCCAAACATTGACTGCATACCACCTTCATGGTAATGTTTGCTGCATTCAGTATATAACAAAGTATTTGCTTAAGGTGCGAAAAAGATTTTTCACTTATTAAACTGAAAAATCAGCAATGGCAAACCTTTTTAGGGTCTCACTTTTCTCCTTCACCGAATTCCAAAGTTTAAGGTAATTGTCAATACTAGTGGCCACTGGGTCAATCAACTGGAGTTTTGATTCAACATATCTTTTCTTTGCTGCAATTGAATTAAAAAAATGCATAATGTATGAACATGTAAAACACAACTTTCAAAATATTAATAAAATGATAAGAAAATGCGGATAACAAGTAAAGCATGGAAATTGCAACAAAAAAAAAGTTGTACAACAAAGGGCCTAAAAGGAAAAAATGCACAATAACCATCTTCCATGACTTAAGTGGTGGAAAAATACGCACAAGACTTCCTCATTAACACACAAAAATAAATCCCAAAAAAGGCAATGCTTTTGTCATGCAACTTGGCTACATGCTTCAATCAATATTTGACGTGTAAGATATGATGGGAAGAAACTATTATGTAGTACTCCCTCTGTCCGGAAATGATGTTCCCATTGTACCTTTTTTCCCGTCCGGAAATGATGTTCCCATTCTACCTTTTCATATCAACTCTTCCAAAATACCCCTACCTAAATGCTCCAATTTCTTTCTCCACACTTTTGATCCCCATGTTCTTGTTTCTTTCTCCGCCACCTCCTTTTTTTTTGCTTCCTCTTCTTCTTTCTCCCAGCCAGATCCAGCTTTCTCTATTTCTCTCTCTCTCTCTCTTCCCCCACCCCCTTCTTCTCCTCGTTTCTTTCTCTTATTTCTTTTTTCTCCTTTTTATCAGATCTAGCCATCATATACATCATCTTCTCCTCTCTCAATTTCTCTTTTTACGCCGCCCCATTTTGTTCTTTTTTTAATTACTTATTCGTTTTCCCAGTCAGATTTGCATGAAACCTAGGCTACCATGGATCAGATAGCCTCTTCGAACCACGAAACGAACGGATCGAAGAAGGGGGTAGGCGTGTTTGATGTTGTGGCCGTGCAACTTCACTTCCTCATAGATCTACAGTCTCAGGAGGTTCTTTCCGTAAGGTATGTAAGGGCTGTGATGTGTAAAGAGTGATGGGGCTGGCGGAGATGATAGGGGTATGGGGTTGACGGTGGGAGTTAGGGTTGCGACGAGATGTCTGGTGCGGTGGTAGCTGGAATCGTGGGGGCTGGGCAGTGGATGGGCAGCGTACAAAGGGAGCAAGGGCATTTTAGTCTATTTAAGTCTTAAGTCAAGCCCTCTTAAAAATGAGGAAAAGTCAAACCGGGAACATCATTCCCAGACGGAGGGAAACTACTATAAGCTAGTTTGTGTGTGCATGCATCAGATCAAGAGTGTTGTGGGGGGTATTGTTTACATTCTGCTTCCTTGTTAATTTTATACAAGTTATTGTTAGCTTCTTCAATTTTCATCTGCACCATATTTAAATCCTTCTCTGCTTCACTAGCTTTTGCACTCAGGTCTTCAAATTCTGTGTGCATAGTCCTGCAATAAAATTTTGAAGGGAAAATAATATATGCAATAATGCTTCCACATAGAACCGAAAGAAATTTAAACACATGAGATATGATGCACTAAACATTTTAAGGCAATGGGACATTGATATGGGTAGGACCAAAAATGAGAAGCATGCAGAACTTGAAATCTACAAAAATAAAAATGACGAAATGACATGCCTATAGAAGACCTATATTCCTCTGTCATTAGCAAAACTATATTGATTTTTTAATAACAATTTCAACTACCACGAAATATAGATTTTTATCAGTTGCATAAAAAGTGGGAGATGCAATATCAAACAAAAAGTGTCAGTACAGTAGATCAGTGAACTGCTTACATAAATCATCTTAATGCTCCCTCCATCTCTAAATATTCTTCACTTATACGATGCACAGATTCAAACTACTCCCTTTATCGACTTTATTCAATTACTTCCATTTTTAAGAACTAAAAACTAAAAGTTCTTACTACATTAGCTGATTCATCTACCTCCCTACTTAATTATCTTGTTATACAACAATAATATTATTCTAAAAGGTCCAAGATGGATTAGAAACAACAAAAAATAAATTTAAAATTTATATGTAGTTTTATATTTAATAAGCTTTATTACTCTATATGTTATTTCCATCATCTCCGATGGATCCAAAGATTCACTATTTTTTGGCGTTGGCCTATGATGGAAGAAAGCAAAACAGCTCTTTAAACTGTTTGTGCTTCTTTTAAACTGTTTGTGCTCTTTAAACTAAGTCAGTGCATCTTTTGACGCTCATCATGGCTCATCCAGAAACAGCCGCTCTATGTTTTAAACATAGGGCTCATGCTAGGTACGTGGTGCTTGAGTCGGGGGTCTCTTTGAAAACAGCCTCTCTAAGTAGGGGTACCGGATCTGCGTACACAAACCCTCCCCAGGCCCTACATTTGTGGGATACAACTGGGTTGTTGTAATACTCGGGCCTGGCCAGAGTGGAGCTGGGAGGTTAGGAGGTAAGAATCATTATTTTTATAAACGGAGCATCCTAGATGCTTCAATTGGAGCCGGTGTCATCCATTGACACTCATTAAGTACACCTGAATAATGTGGCCCTTTAGAGTTATAAATAAATCAATTTCATAAGTTGAGGCGGGCTCAAGACGGATGTAGCAAAATGGAATGCTATTTAAACTGGTTTAATTCTCGTTGTTCATGCGGAGTATAGGAACTGGAAACATACTGTTCTCTCATTCTCTATTTCTTACTAGAGTGACTGGGTTAAGGCTGCATTGATATTATCTTTTGAAAATATTCATCAAGATAATGCATTACACACGTGTCAAGGCATATATAGATAGATATTATCCATATATAGATAGATATTATCACTGCGAAATCCCATGTTTCAAATGAAACTAAGCTGTTCTCATACAGTAGGTAATCGATGACAGTGCTGCACGTTTACTGAATGAGTTTCACTATTTGAAACGAATCTATACAGATGGGTGTCAAAAATGGTTGAGAGACGGCTATGTGCTTAAGGTACCATACCTTTGTGCTACCAGACTATTTGACTTACTCGCTAGTGGAGGTACACCAACTCAATAGCCTCAATAGTCAATTCGATACACTTAGTAGGTAGAAAGCTGCAAAGCCAAGGTACGGAGTAAGGTAAGGTTCCATGCAATGCTATAGAATACAATAATCTTCCTATGAAAAAACTATGTTATGAAATCATCAAAGTTTGAGATTTTTCAATCAAGTTCAAGACTTCGGTGTATTCCAGCACAACAAGGAGGCATCATCTTCTTGTACTTCCACGAAAATGAATAATGAAGGATCTGTTAACAGTAGTAGTAGTAGAGATGTTGCAAATACTAATAGGGTTGGAAAATATCTCCAGGTTATAAACTTAGATTACCAACATCCAGGTTATAGGGTTGCAAAATATTTCCAGACTGGCAAAACTTCCAATATCTCGTTGGCAGTGGAGTCAGTTATGAAACAAAAGACAATCATAGATCTGGACTTGACTGGAACTAATGCAAGTAGACAAGTGCTTACGGCTGCTGAGTTGGGGCTCATGCTAGCATTAGCTGTAGCTTTGGGTGTTGAGCCTACTGCTTCAATAGCTGTAGCTCAATAGCAGTTATTCAAAACATAATTAACATAATTATATACATATCAGACAATAACAATATTAGACTTGAGGTCTGCATACAGTTTGTCCCCCCAAACCCTACTCTCGAGTGGGATATACTTGATGATGTGTTTGATTTGGCCTTGTTTGAGGTTCATTTGAGGAGTTAGGGTTGATCCCTGATTTTCACATCTACTTTGTTGGATGTTCTCATCGGGACATTGACTGCTGGCGGGCGATTTATGTTGGCTTCGGCAAAAAAGTTTCTCAGACCACAGGGGAAGGGGAATGTCGCTCTTAAAAATTGCCTGCATAAGCTTATTTTCATACCCTTAGGCCTTAGGTACGAGCGGTTTGTGGTGCCTAATTCAGTAGTGGTGGGCTAATGGTTGAACTAGTAAAGATCATATCTACCTGCACTTATCTAGATGTCGTAAGCTCATAACGATTGTGTTTGTGGTTAAAAGGCACATGTACGTACATGTAGTTAAAGAATACCCGTCGGTCATTGCAGTTCATGGGATGCGTTGGTACTTGCACTTGAAGACTTTAGCACACGTGTACCAACAGTTTGTGGTGCCCTAATCGGGAAGTGGACCGGTAAATACAAATTCCACCTGCACTCTTTTGGGTGCCTTAACAACCGTGTCTACGGTTAAGAGGACAGTTAAAGGGTACCCGTCCCAGCCTATGGTTTGGGTATACATCTCTACCATCATTTGTGGATTATGGTACCCGTTTTCTACCAGCAATCTCATAACTAAGGACTGGCCATTTGCCAAAAGTGGCAATGGGCAACTTTCTTGCAAGGGTTTGGCAATACGAGAGGCTGTTTCGGTTCTCCGTGGTGGCTGGTGGTGGCTGAGGACACTGATATACCCGTGTCAACTTCTCTTTTTGATGATTTTTTTTTGGAATTTGGATTTCTGGATGTCTCATCTTACTCTTGCACAGAATTTGGCCCCACACATTCTTCCTCACCCTCTTCATAATCGGTACATGTTTTAGCCATGGTTTTTTTCTTACGGTGGCATCCCCCCTACACTACACTTTGGACATTTAGATCTGCTTTTGGGATGATATATTTTTTGTTTGTTTACGAGTTTTGTCTCGCACATATCTTATTTTTATTACTTACGGGCATGGAGTTTGTTCCTGCTCGCATGACTTGTGTATTTCTTTATTTTACCTAATGCATTTAATTAAAAAAAATGTTTATTTTTAGTTACATGAATTTTTGTAGTCATATTTGGGAAAATCAGCTATCTTTTAATCCCATTCCAATAAATTCTCTACTTTTTATTTATAAGAAACCAATGGTTTAGTTTCAAGCTCCAAAGCACATAAGACTAAGACCTTAAATTTGACTAAAGTCAAAAGACTATTTTAAGTTTTAAAAAAAATTGGAGTTTGGAGTTTGGAGTGTACTGTCAAGATTACTCAAATTACAAATTAGAATTGAACAGGCCAAAGAGTGATTCTAGAGTAAATTCTAAATGCCCTAAAAATGCAGGTTCACTTGTTATAAGCATGTGAACATGATCAAGGATATGAAGCTACACAAGGCCCTCATAATCAAACTTAACGACAAATGTAAAGGGTCAAGAAACCCAATACACCATAAGAAACATAGATAATACATTAGATACTCTAAATTAAATATAAAGAGAAGAATTTGAAATTTGAAGCCTACCGACTACAACTATCAAAAGAGGAAATCAAGGGATTAACTTACCTCTGGACCTGTGTAACTTCTTTCTTCAAATCCTTGTCCTGAGGAAGCCTTCCTTTCATCACCACTTTAATTTTATCCTTGTATTCATCAAGGCTGTAGGGTTAAGAGATGAATTATCAGTTATGATATTTACTATAAACTATTGAGATAAAATTATGTTTATCATAAACTGCTAGATAAAACAGCAGGGGGGAAAGATTGTATGTGATACAAAGTCACTCACATCTTCTTGTGTTTCTTTTTCTTGGTTTCCAATTCCACCTTCTTAAGGGAGAGTTTAACTCTGTCCTCGGAATCGGCACTTATACGGTCTCTTTCATGTTTAAGGTCATTAATTTTTGGAGCTAAGGTGTATATCTCACTCTGCTTTAGCATAATGCATTTCCCAAATCCTCGTTCTTCAATTTGATTATTCTTTTTCTCACAATCCGCTTGCTGCAATGCCAAAGAAAAAATAAAAGGTCTGGACTCTGAAGCTTTAAGAATAGGATTAGACTTGAGCTGAGACATCAAACCAATTTCTGTTCCCTCTCGTCTAGGTGAGCCAAATTAACATCTGATATTTCAAGTTCAAGCTTATAAAGCAAATTCTTCTTCTCTTCAATGCGTTTTAAAAAGTCTTTCTGCATTGAACAATAAACATAGCTATTATAATGAGAAACCCAAAAAATAGTCATAACAAGAAACAACACAAGCATCACATGTGTTAGGGGCAAACCTTGGTATCTACTTTAGCATTTATCTTGGCTGACATATCATTCCAACGGCTATGTGCATTCTCATACTGACTCCATACTGATGCAGCTATCACTGAGTTTGATTTCTAAATGCCATTAATGCAAGCAAATCTTGTCACACAGCATAAAGTAATAGATCTCGAGTGAAAAGGGGATGTCATTGAAAAGGTGTTGAACACTGTACAAGTAAGGGCCATTAAAGAAGTATAGAACAAACAACACCAGAGAAACGTCCAGCCTTCACACTCAGCCCTCGCGCTCACCACTTTTTGCAAGTTTCTCCCTAGGTTATAACCACCAACCAGTTGAAATATCAAGCATACACCATGACCCACAATTGGTCAGATACCCACTGGTACCAACACAATATTGACAAGTTAAATCTCACATAATAAATTTCTAACCCTTGTAGTTTGGATTTAACTTTTATTAACATTTCTAATGTTTTAAACATTTGAATGACAAAGCAAAATCATGATTTGTACGGGGTATTTGAATAAGGAATCATATAGAGCATTACATAATTCTTTGATTGATTAAACTACTTCTATATAACATGTAGATTGCATGCTCACTAATTATAAAAAAGGGAAAATATTAATTGCTACCTTAAGGAAATCGATAAAAAAGTACATGGTGATCTAAGCTGTAAAAAGTACTGATTAAAATTGGAAACACACAGTGCTAAAGAAAGCTTAAGAAAAGACTATACAAATGAAGGGTAGTTTGTATATACTATTCTCCGAGAACATTTTTAAATTCTTAATTTAAAGCCTTCTATAATGATCATAATTCTAATATTAATGTAGAATCCCTCACCACCAACTCAAGCTTTTAGAATTGAAATGAACCACATCATTTAATATGACATCGATGCAATTAAAAATTCTAAACATTATGTCTAACAGAGAATTCATCATCCATATATTTCCATTTGTTTGCCTATTAAAGAGTAAAGACACATACATGAGAGATAACGTTGACAAAAAATTTAATTAAACAAAAATGTATTTTGCCCAACATTAATTTGAAGTGAAAACCGAAAATATAAATCCTTCGGTTTCACAAAGGTTTCTGACCTAAGAAGAGTTGGAAGGAGGCAATTAAACAGAACTTAAGACTTCTTGCCCTGACTAAGGATATGACCTTAAATAAGAGCGTTTGGAGAGCTAGGATAAGAGTAGTTGGGTAGGCCCTTTGGGCTAAGTGGTAGTTTTCTAGACTTGTTGTGTGCTTTGTATGCCTTATGTGCTTGGTGATCTCTCTTTGCAGTATTTTTCTTTCGTTAACATTACTCTGTCCTTTGCCTTTGTGTGCTTTTGGTTTTATGTGTTTTCTCTGCTTTTTTATGTATCTAATGAGATCTTTTATTACTATTATTATCTTTTATTATTTTTGTTGCATGAGCCAGGGGGTCTCATGGAAACAAACTCCCAACTTTTGACTAAGGGCAATGTCTACCTACACACACCTTCCCTGGACCCTACTCTTGTGGGATCCAATTGGGTTGTTGTTGTACTCTTTTGATAGCTCCAAAATATTCTCACATTTTCCCTTTACCCTTTTTGGAAAAGTATATGTGGTTCATAATATTTCTCTCTTCTAAACAAATTCTAACCACATTTTCCATTTTTCAACCCTTTACTTAATCTCCCTGAAGTCAAAGTGGGGAAATATTTTTTAGGATGCGGGCAGTATTATTATGACTTCTCATGATGTATTTTCTGGGGGTGTAGGCGGTATTATTATGACTTCTCATTGTGTATTTTCTGGGATGCATGCAGTATTATTATGACTTCTCATTATGTATTTAATGGGATGCAGGCAGTATTATTATGACTTCTTAGTGTATACACATGCATAAAATATGTAGACATAGGTTCATATCAAGTGTTCTACACTAAACAGTAGCCTAATAATGCAATGCAAGAAACAATGCTTACTAAACTGTAATAGCATAATTAGCCTCATTAGAGTCTTGGACCCATAGTCATGATAGGTGAAGATGAAGAGATGAGGTATGTGCTCCTGATATGCTCAGGCAAGCGAGCTCTGTGAGCACTGTGTGTGCTTCTTCTCGTGTTGAGGGGTTAGTCACTTTACCACACAAGTACCTGAATAATTCCATGTGCTATACTAAACACATAGTAAGCAAAAAAGTTAATAAACTTAGCCAATACTCGAAATTGCATGCTGCGGTTTTGAGACATTTGTATGTCAAGGCGTATTGCATAAGCCTTAAGGGATAAGCCTCAATCTTAAAGTTTAAAATTGTGCATTTAATATTTTCAAAGAAGAAAACTGAACATTATTAATAACATTACTATTCTATAAACCTTTAAAAAGCATATTGGCAACGTAAAATATCTCAACAAAATCTAGCATGAAACAACAAAATATGTTCAAGTTCAAAAGACAAATTAGTAACAATAAAAATAAAAAACAATAAATTAATGACAGATTAGTAAGAATAAATGGTAGCTTAAAAATATATAAATGGGTAAAAAAGAAACGGTCTAAAAGAATACCAAATAATAATAAACAGTAAGAGAAGGGATAAGGACTAAGGAACACACAATGAGCCTTAAAAAATTTACTCCATAAAACAAACCTTAAAAAAAGATGTGAGATGGGGCAGGTAAAAACAAACACAAACGAGTAAATCAACTTACGATGCTCATCAAAGTCAATAAGCAATGGAAAAGCAGCTCTGCTAGGAAGAACAATGTGATGGAAGAGAGATGAAAACGGTAGAGGATAGGCGATCGAGTAGGGTTAGAATCTACTCAGGTAATTTAACTTTAAGAATTTTGTAATTAAATTATTAATTTAACCCTAATTTTATTTTTGGGGAGAAAAAATGTACGCTATTCTACGCCTCAGTGCACATGCCTCAACGCTTACGCAATTACCCGCCATATCTGAACAACCTTTATTGCCTAAGGCTAGATGGCCATAGGGCGTAATCTTCTGGAAAATGCCATGAGGCGCGCCATATGGCGGGTTACGCCATGAGATTTTGAACGCTGAACTTAGAAGCATCCTCTAATTCCTCAAACTCAATGATAACTTCTTCCCCCACCATCACCGTTGTCTGCAGCTCAGCGACTCAGGTTACGAAGTTTTTTTGTTGGTCTCCTTTTTCAACTACTTTCCCCTTCGTCTTCTTTTGATTTTCTTCGTGCTTAGGTCTTTTGAATCTTTACAACAACCACAACAACCCGGTTGGATTCCACTAGAGTAGGGTGTGTGTACACAAACCTTACCCTACTCAAAAGTAGAGAGGCACCTTTTGAAGCTTTATATTATCAATAATCATTTTTTTGGTGCATTTTGAGTATAACCATGAAATAGTTTAGTTTTGTAATCTGAAATATGTTTGGCCTCTGCTTTTTCCTTTGTTGGTTGTGACTTTCAATTTCAACTACTTCATTAATAATAGCTTAACATCTATGGTGTGTGTCTGCTTGAAAAGTACCTCTGCCTGCCTCTAACCTTTCATAACTAGGTCTTGGATCAAAAAGGGTTTCTCCCATCTCAGTGCCCGTTACCAAATAAATGGATAAAGTTAAACACTTTGACACCCTTCTATATTGACCTGTTTGAAACAAGTGTAAAAATCACCTTTTTATCCTCCAAATCCTTTTGGTAGTCTGAAAGTCTCGATCTCAAGCGGTTCATGAGGTTCAGAGCAACTTCATCGCTGAATTGACTAGTTGAAACAGGACCTACATTATATCTTTCAAAAAGTTCCTTGATAGATGTGTCTCTCTGATTCTTGTATGCCCTGTGAGTCTAAGCACCAAAAATGAAACAAACAACAAAGCCAATTACTTCAGTAAGAAACTAAAAAGATCAGTTATCAACTTCTGTATTAGAGTCAAAGAAACTACATGAGCTTCATTTTCAAGCTTCAAGATCTCCCCCGTATAGCCTTTGATATCCATCTGGAGGAAAGAACGCTTAGACAGCAAGTCATCCGTTTCTCTACGCAGTTTGCTGATTTTTGACTCTAGAAGAGCAATCTTCTCATCGAACTTGGCTTTCCACTCCTGCAGATCTTCATCGGTGTCTAGAAGTAGAAACAAAACATAACAAAACAAAATTCTCTTCAAGGGGAAATAGCGAGTTAAATGAAACACAAATTCATTGTTTTGAAGGAGCGATATCTAAAACAGCATTTTAAATGTAAAACAATCCTCAAATCAAAGTTAACATTGCAAGCATTGAAGTGCACTGTTTCTTCGTCTTGTTTTTGAGAGGGAGTGCACACACAAGCTAGATCTAAAAAAAAAATCTAATTCTAGATATTAGAAAATGTAACGTTCTCATTTAATTTGAGTATAATAGGATAACTGGAAATAAATACTCCCTCAGTTTCAAAAATTATGTTTCAACGGTTTCAGATACTTTTGTCCCCAAAAAACACCTGCTTGATTAAATCAAGCAAACTTTTTTGTGTAATATGTCAAAAAGTGACGAACATAAGTCATATACAAGCTATACATGATAAATTTCGTTAAAAAAGCAAATGATTTTAAACCTGTAAGCATGATTGATTATTTATGATGGCAGTACCTTACAAAAATTAAAAAAAGGACATTCATCATATAAGACACTTTTATGAGACAGGTAGTTTCAAGAAATCTAACACCAGCACACCACAAACCTTCACTCTTAGAATCTAAAGCAGCTTTCTTTCTCTGCTTCTCTTGATACAAAGCACTTCTTTCAGCAGTCTTTGCAGTTATTTGTTCCTGTAATTTCCTTAGGTCCTCTAAAGTTCCTTTAACACAGTCGATCTTACTATCTAGGTTCTGGATCTCTCCCTCAAACACCTGAATTTCATTTTTCAGTTTGTTTGTCTCCTTCTGGTCTTGAGCAATGCATTCTCTTAACTACACCAAACACAAAACAAATTCAATAAGCTTTCATAAAGTGCATTCGCCTATTTTGACCTTTGAATAATTTTTTGAAATGTAACTCAAAATTTTGATTTAACATGTTTGAAGTAGGTCCTGACTAAAAAGCAACAGATGGGAGTTGATCATAGAATTTTGATTTACAATCTGGGTAAACAGGAGGCAAATTAGCACTAAGAAACCTTGTAGGCAGCATCTTTCAGCATTTGAAGATTCTCCAATTTGAGTTTAAACGACTTTATCTCTTGTGATTGATCCTTGTGAAGTTTTTTAATAACCTCCAAAGCCTTTGTATATCTGAAAAGAAACCAAATGAACCAAGAATACAACATAACAGCAGCAAAACATCATATTCCTAAGCAGTAATACTAAATAGAAACCAATGATTGCCCATTGGTTTATGAACTTATCTGCATGCGCAGAACTGAAGAACTGTTAGAAATGTCCAGACATATTGTTAGATTTATCCTTTAGCAACTTTAGATCTTGAAGCTAATCAAACATTAATTTGGAAAATAAAAAATTTGAAGAGTTGAAGAATATAGAACTTATTAGGAAGAGGCTTAATTAATTACTCCCCCTCCATCCTAAATCTAACTTCCCAACAGGGGCTCATTTTTAAGGAAAGGTTAAAAATGCTCTGACTTTCCAAAAATGACACAAGCACTTTTCTTACACATTTGCATCTTCCAGATCAGAGCTGCCAAGCCAAGTTGCTACCATCTACAGCAACCTTCTCAAATATTTCTAATCAGTTTTTTTTCATTTCTTCTTCTCATTTCTTTAAAGTCTTGAAAATAAATCACAATGCTCTTTTTACCTGAAAAAGAAAAAGGTCTTATTACCAGAAACAGTTGGTCGGAAGTGAGAGAGCAGAAATTGTCAGTGCCGGAGATATTACTCTTCTGTCCCTCATCTTGCCAGAGAAAGTGCTCAATCTGGAATCGGGTGTTGAGGAGATGCAAAGCAAAATTGGTAGAAATTTCTCACTGAAATTATTGCCGAAGAAGGAAAGAGCAAGAAAGGTGAAGGAAAACAGAAGAGGATGACAGGGGATGGAGAAGGGAAGAGGAAGAAAGGCGGTGGTGACGGAGAATGGGAGAGGAAGAAAATTGGGAGGGAGAGATGGGAGGGTGTGAGGATAAGTATGTGAAGGGCATTAGGGTCATTAAACATATTTGAATTTGCCTTATTAAGTAATAGAAAGATACTTTTAGTTTTAGGACAGCTCATAAAGAAAAGTTGGAAGATAGTTGTAGGACGGAGGGAATATATACTCAGTTGTCAATACAGATGGGTATATTCAATTGTGTGGGCTGGGTGTTCGACAGTACAAGTCTCCGACTCCCATTTTCCACATTAACTGTAATATTTTATATCATCTACTTTTAACTTACAAATGCTATCTATAATATGTGCTTTCAACTTCAGATATTTGGATAAAAATGTGATATTAGTTTACTTATCTCATTAAAGTTGTTTAAAATGTAAAGTTTTTATACATCTTTGTAAATTTATGGAAGCCCAAATTTACATTTTGGAAGTTCAAAGTTAAAATTCTGAAACAAGTGAAATACAAGTGTTAATTTGGTAACTTTTCCTAAATCTTGTTTCATTTTTTATATTTCTTCTAATTTTGTTTTGTTTTCAATTATTTGAAATATGAAGAACATGTTCATTTTCTCAAAAAGTAAGTTCTCTGTAAATGGGATTAATTTTGGTGTTCAGTTTCAAAGTTCAAATTTTAATATAGTCTAGAAGAAAAAAACAGAATTTCAGAAACCATTAGAAACAATAATTGCTAGTTCTCATTTTATTAAAAAAATGTTTCAAATTTGGACCACTATATAAATATGAAACACACACTCAATATGTCCCAAAAATAAACCGAAAACATTCATTATTAGGTCGTCCCAAAATGAACTTTTCATTCTTTAAGCAACGCAATGAACGGTTCGTATTTCTCTCTAGTCTCTCCCCAAATAAATATCCTACTTTCCTTTTCGGATCGATCCATAATAACCGTCTCATTCCTTCAAAGGAAAAGATTGAATGGTTCTCAACTTCTCGTTATTTATCTCTCCTTTACATAAATCTTAACCTTATTATTTCACTTTTTCTTAAAGTCTGAAAAAAGGAAACGGGAAGTTTAATTTGGAGTGGAGGGAGAAATATTGTGGTGGGGTTTATTTCTTCCACACACACACAAAATGTGATAGGTTGCAGTGCATAAAATCCTCTCATACTACACCACACTCACCCACCCCTCATTGGGATAAGGAAATCATTTATCCAACGAAAAATTAATGAGCACTAAACTAACAAACACTAATGAGAAAATGGCATCCGAGCATTTCATGATTGAAAACAAGTGTACCTAGTAGCAGAGAAAATGTCATCAAACTTCTTTTTCAGTGTAGACGGGTCTTGCAGTGGCCAATTGGCCTCATCTTGGTGAGCAAATATCACATTTTCAAGAATAGCCTTAGACACACCCATAAGAGCTGGTATTTCACGATCCATATCTGCACATCTATAACTTAAGCAAACTTTCTGCAATTAAACACAGAAAACAGATTCTGGATAAGTTAACCCTCATTAGAATCAACCCTTCAAAAAAGTATATTAATTATATTGAAGATTGAAGATGTAATTATTTAGTCAAGCAGAAACCTCGAAACAAGAAATATTGTTCTTGTGAGAGAAAATCACACAGGTTGCACCCCCGCACACATAATATAAAAACAAATGAAGGGGATGAGCAAATTTCAGAATGTATTTACTCCAATAAATAGTCAAATAACTCCAATGCAGACTACATTGGAAAACTAAAATGTTGCATGCTGCAAAAAAAATAGAAGAAAGAACAGACTTTTTCTCAGTGATTGAGGAGTAGTTTACATTTACTTTAAAATACGAGAGTCTTCTTCAGCCACCCTAATGCCATCACAATGATGTCATTGTTCTAGATGGCCATGATATCATTCTTCTGCATGTCTTTACAACTATATACAGCCAACTTATTTCTTAGGCCTATTTTTCTCACCACCCTTTGGTTGTAATGTGTAACTTATATGCTTCAACTAGAACTTCTAGACAACTTTGTCATGATGTTCATGTGAGAGCAAGAAACATGATATCAAGATGTTCATGTGATAATCTATACACCTAGCACCAATCAGCATAACAATATTCTATACACCTAGCACAACAATATTCTATACAATGGTGCTAGGTGTACACAAAAAGTACATCATGCTTTGCACTGGCACAAAATGTTAGTGTCGTACTTGCGTTTTGTGTCAGTGTGTGCTAAATGCTAATGCAAAGCATAGTGTACACTTGGTACACCATGGTGGTGTGCAAAAGATTTTTCCTATTCTATAATAGGCTACAGCCTTTGTCTTCAATCTTCATGAAGTAATTTTTGTCTCGGTGTTTTGTTGATGCATCTTAGAATGTGTTAGGAGCATCTCAATTATCATTAACTGGTTTATCACATAATTGAGTGAGTACACTTGTCGTAAATGAATAGCTTAGCCTCGTAATGGTGAGATAATCCAATTTTCAAGTGAGGGTTCTATATTTCTTCTTATCAAGGGCTCCCGTTATCATAGAAAGATTACTACAATTGAATACGGAGTATGTGTCTAATTTTCCACCTGTTTCCTCCAGAATGTGTAATGCCTATTTTTCTTAGGAAAAGAACAATGTCATCGCAAAATTGAACAATCTCAACACACAAAAAGTATAGTAATTGTCTTGAGTCCTTAGTTTGGGATTTGCTAGATGGATATTCTTTGAGATGGGCAATGCTTTCCATATGCACATCAAAAAGGTGATAAAAACTGTGATATTCAAGCCCGATGCCAATTAATTTCCATGTATGAATGTGTTGTGTCGGCATAAAAACAGCACAAGGTTACAAAGTTGAGAAAGTTTCCTAATTGGCAAAATGTTTAACAGACTATTTGGATGTATGATGGTAGTGTCCTATTTTGGACAATGCATTATTACATGAATATGTATGTTTGCAATGTTTATTGTCCATTGAATTTAGGTTTTGATGACAAAAGGTCAATCAAATGAGCATTGAGGCTAAGAAAGACTGATTCAAAGAGCTACAATGATCATACTAAGTCCGTGTTGAAGGGGCAGTTTGAAGAATCAAGACCAAAGACTTTGACAACCCAATAGTTTGTTAGTCTTCTAGGTCTTAGACTTGTTAAAGGATATGGCATTAGGAATAGTAGCTCATAGACTCTCCTCGGCCTTCACTTCTCAAAGGTTTTCAAATTTCCCAGTAGCTATTTGAATAGCCAGCCTCCATATTTGAATAGTTAATCTTTAAGCTTGCAGAAGGTCATTGCTGAAATTGTCTTATTCAAATAGTTATCTATCTTATTCGAATAGTTAAGCTGGCAAAAGGTTTTCTGAGTTGAAAATGCCTTAACTATTGGAACAATAGTTATGCTTATTCAAATAGTAGCTATCCGTGGGTGAGTTCTCCTTTCAGAAATCAACCAACTATTCGAATAATAAGTTTACTTATTCGAATAGTTATCCCTCAACAATTGTCCAATAGTCATATTTTCAAATATTTGAAGCATATATAGTAACCGACCCCCCTCCCCAAACATCTACAATGATTAACCAATATTATTTTGAGGTTCTTGAAAGCATTCTTCTTTAAGAACACTTTATACATCCAAGCATATTTTCATCATTGATCAGAATACTACTTTGCTTGAGTTTCTTCCTCATTGTTCTGGTCTTTGAGAGTTGTCATTGTCGTATCATATAGAAATTTCATTGTATTGCAGCAATCTACTAATTCATATACCGTTGTGGTTATTTTCTTTGTTTAAGAAAAAGTGCAAAATCTTAGTGTTGGAAATACATGTGGTTTGGGTAGAAATTTTAATCGTTTGTGAAATCAAGCATTAGGTGCAAGAAATCATGAGTTGCAAATTCAAGTCATTGGTGGTAAGATAAGAATCTTGTGAAATCAAGTTCTTGCTTTGTATTTGGTTTGCCAAACACCTCTAAGTTTGGTGGGGATAGTGAAGGGCAGAAGGCTCGGGCACGATTCTTCGGGGACTCGATGTAGGCATAAGGCTAAACCAGTATATATTGTGTGTTTATTATCTGAGGCACAATTGATATTCCAAAACATATCCTTGGTGTTTTGTAGGCGTGTCAATGGAATTGGCTGGGTTTAGATCTAAATCAAATAAAACCAGCATACCCGTTATTAATCTCAAAGCGTCGGGTATAGCGCTAGTAGGTGTCTTGGGTCACAAAATGACTCAGCATTCCAAGGTGAAAGAACCATTTTGTGTGTGTGTGTAATGAGTTTGATTCGGGCAAGAATCACTCATTTTTTTCATCATGGTGCACATTGATGAATAAATCTGTGCATTTTATTTTGGCAAGAAATTTGACTTATTTGTGATTAGCCCCAATGTTTTTCATTTTCCCTGATTTTTCACTTACTCACAATCTTTAAATCTTAAATCCAATGGATGAAATGCATCCTCATTTCTTTCATGGTGCATCCATTCTCACCTAAACCAAAACATTATATATATGTGTGTGTGTGTATGTATACTCCCTAACTAAAGTCTAGCTTCCCAAATTGGGCATCCCAAAACTAAAGTCCCATTTCCTCTTGTGCGTAACCAACTCAATAAAAAATACTATAATATCCCTACCTTTTCAATCACTTTTTCTATCTTTTGAATCACTTTTACATTCTTTCTTTTATTTCAACTCACGCACATCTATCTTTTTCAAACACATTTTATACACACCTTCATTTATTTCTCATCCATATTACACTCTATCTCTCTCTTATTCTAACCACAACACATCAAAGTCGCATCAGGGGCAAAACTAGAATGTCAACACTACTTTAAAATTTACCTTAGTCTATATGAAGTCAAATCGAGACTTTAGTTTTGGGACGGAGGGTGTGTATATGTACATAGAGAGTGAGAGGTAGGATATTATGAGGCTATTTATTTAGTGATACCATTTGACACCATTAAATTTGCTCTATCCATCACACCATTAAATTTGCATTAAATTACAGAAGCATGATGGATAATACAAATTTAATGGTGTCAAATGGTGTAAATAAATAATTGGTGTTTGAATATCCTATCTTGTGTGTGTGTGTGTGTATAGAGAGAGGGAGAATGCATATGGTGCATCAGTTGTAAGATCTAAGGATTATTTATATTTGAAAGAGTGAGAAAAACATTAAAAGTGTGGTAGCATTTCAAGACGTTTCTACCATCGTAAAATATGCACTACTTCAAATGCAAATGTGTAATGCACCAAAGACTTTTCTCCCACCATAAAATATTTACTCGTTACAACTATATACAACTAACTAATCTCTAACAACTATTGTTTGCACATGCCTCTATGTTTTGAGAGATTAGGGTACATTTGGGCAAGTTCAATCATTACCAAATCATGTTGTTTCCTAGCAAGTAGTTCAAGAAACCAAATAGTATTTTGCATATGAGTTACTCATCCCTCCTAAAAAGATGAGCCTTAACGAAAACTATGCCAACTTTGAAACTTGATTTCTCAAAAAAAAATGTCAAAGAAAATATACAAACTATGAAAATGCTTTTCTTTACAAAGCATTAAATATAGCTATGCAAAAATTATAAATTTAAGGGTGTATTTTAAGACAAATCATTCACCAATGTTTGTCACGTAGGATGCACTTCAACGACCTAGGCTTCCTCAAGGGAATTTGCATTATGGTCCACAAGTTTGTGAGGAAGCAAGTAGACACCATTAGTAAGTGCCACAATAGTTATGAGCACATGCTTAATTTGTAGCTAGGTGTCAGATGATTACTCACTCATAATCCGGAAAAGTAAAACTTTTGTGCAATTGTGTTTTTTAGAGAAATGAGTATTTGGTTAAAATAATACAAAGTAAAAATTGAGATGTAAACTTCTAATAGAATAATCCAAGATACTAGGATTAAAAGAGCCAATACCTCTCCGGTATGAGGATTAATGGTTTGGAGCACACTCTCAATGGCCTTATACTCCATCTTAGTGGCCTTCTGAGTTAGCTGAAATGACCTAATGCAGACAACATCCTTTCCAGCCGCGGTCTTAAACCGTAGCTTAATCTGCCCTTTTGTCTCTGTCTCTCCTGCCACCTAATTTTTTACACAAATTTGTTTTATGAAATTTTTGAAAGTCATTATATATTCAAAAAAAACAATGCTAAATAGAAAGGGCGAATTCACCTTTGGATCATGAACAAAACTGTGGCCGGAACGAGCATTGGGTGGCAACTCTCCTGTGCACGCCACCTTCAAGCACTCAATGATTGTCTATAGCAAAAACACAGCAAACAATGAACAGGAAAACCATACAGCACTGTGACATTGCAATAGAGCCTTGCAAACTACAAGCAGGTGTGGTACAGCCACACTACAAGAGGCTATCATCTTAATTGAATTGCATGCCCAAGCAAATTACAACCATATAGCTACGAAAGACTCTTACCGGAACTTAGAGTGTATCTAGATATAAAAAGACAGGAATCGCAATATAGAGAGAGACAGAGAGATTACAGTTTTTCCGGCGCCGTTAGGGCCTACAATGAGGGTTAGGGGCCTGAAGAACGTGACGACATTTTTGTTCTCCGGATCAAAGCTCCGGATTCCCTTTATAAGCATCTTGTCGACTGTGCTCATTTTCGCTATCCCTCTCGAAACAACCCTGATTACGAAGCCTAAGTAGAACTGCTTGTGAGCAATAGCGGCGAAGACGGACGCGAAGTGAAGCGCCACATTGATGAGGAGAGGAGGGCTTTTATCGCAATGAAAATACTCCTCATATAACTTATAGAGTTATACTCCGGGTAGCTATTTAATCATTTTACTTTTTTTAATAAAAAAATTACGGAGTATAAGGAGTACTACGTACTACTTATTCCATTTCACGTTTGAAAAAAATAATAAAATGTCAAATTATGTATTATGCATATTAAAGCTAATACACTATTTATTATTCCATTGGTAAATTTTAAACTCAAATTAAATAAAATGATACTTCCTAATTCTTTCTTCCCAGTTTGACTTTTCTCCATTTTTAATTTTTTGCTTTGACTTCAAATTTTACTCTCCTTAAAAAAGATTTTTTGAATTTTTTTTATACTCATTCAAAATATAGAGTTAGAAGATAATTGGTGTTAGTACATGAGGGTATTAATGTCATTTGTCATCTTTTTTTTCTAATGCGAAGATAGTTTTAAGACGGAGAAAAAGGAGAAGTGTGAAGAAAGTTTTAGGACAGAGGAAGTATAAGATACTGATACAAAAAGATTTTCATTAGATTTATTATATATAATATTTTAACAATATAAATTTATATAATTAATATACAATATATACGGAGTATTTTATTTAATTATAAGTCAAAGCTAAGGTCAAACCAGACACATAAGCATTTACATTCAACAAATGCTTGTATTTTCCTAAAAGATTGTCAAAATAATATGAGTTAATATTCATTTTAGTCCATGTAAGTGCACTCACAAGTTTATTAGGTCGCTGTAAGTTTGATTTAGTCAAATTAGTCAGATAACTAGAAAATGTGAATCAAATTAGTCATTTATGCAAAATTTATATTCCAAAAATTATAAGTTAATATGTTAATTGATACAAAAACTAATACACGGAGTTTTTGCTTTTACGTCAACTTGATAATTCATAATTTTAAGAGACAAATTGTGTTCGAAAGACTATCTTAAATCACAAATTTTATGTGAGCAATGTTAGAGGTACACTAAAGATGTACCTCATTTGTCCCCCACCCTTTTCTCCAGCACTCATTTTTATTTTATTTATATATTTATTTATAGTCTCTTACCCATTTTTTATTTTATATATGAAGACTAATTTTAACTCTAATAAACTTATCACAGACTGAAAGGACCATACCCATTAACGCCTTAACGGTGGTGGGTTTAATAAGTTGAGACTTTGAGTGTGCGGAAAATTACTCGTAGGTGACGCGAGTTTTGTCGAAATAACTTTCAAGTCCTTCTATTTTTAAGAAGACAACCGAGATCCTTATATTTTGTTGTAATGACTGGGAGGGGACATTTCATCCAATACATCATCCGTAAGTATTGATAAATGTATTTTTTTCCTATTTTTCGAATACCGTTTTTTCCTATTTTGCCATTACCTTGTTTTTTCTTTTTTTAATTTTTTTTATTTCATTTGTTTTAATATAATACAAACAATTTTGAATTTTTATACGATTTTATAGAAGAAATTCTAAAATAACATTTTAAAAAATAGTAACAAAATGAAAGAAAAATAAAGAAATAAAAAAGGGAGCGATCTAAGATTCATTACTTTAAAATATTTAGAAAAGAATAGGAAAAAATACATTTATTAACGTTTATAGATGAAATATTAGATGAAATATCCACTTACAGTTATTACAACAAAATGTAAGGACAACATGTTTTTATTTACCAATGTAGGACCTTTGGTCATTATCAAGTAGTCATTATTGAACTAAATATCCATCATTACTGGACATTATTCCTTCCACTAGGTCATTATTAAGTCCTATTTAAGAAATAAAAAAGTTTAAGTTCTACATTTGGAAAATCATTATGTTTTAGTCCTATTTAGGGCCTGTTCTTTTGGACTTGAACTCTTAACTTCCAGTTCTTTCCAGTTTCTTCCAGTTTCTTCCAGTTTCTTCCAGTTTATTCCAGTTTCTTCCAGTTCTTCCAGTTTTTTCCAGTTTCTTCCAGTTTTTCCAGTTTCTTCCAGTTTTTTCCAGTTTCTTCCAGTTTTTCCAGTTTCTTCCAGTTTTTTCCAGTTTCTTCCAGTTTTTCCAGTTTCTTCCAGTTTTTTCCAGTTTCTTTCAGTTTTTCTTTTTTTCCAGTTTCTTCTAATTTTTTCCAACTATATTTATTTTCTTCAAATTCTTTCTACTTTCTGACAAATCACTCTAAAAAAATTTATTATTATTATTATTATTATTATTATTATTATTATTATTATTATTATTATTATTATTATTATTCTTACAGTTTTTTTAATTACAACTTTTATGTTGATAACTATAGTTTATAAATTATTTCATTTTGTCATCTCACTATTTTTATGATTCATCTTCATTATTTTTTTCTTCAACTTTTAAATATGAATAATACCATTTTTTTGTATATTAATCTACAAGAAAAAATAGGAAACTATTTAAAAAAATTTAATATTCTAGTTTACAATTTATTCTAGTTTTTTTAGTTTCTTTTAATTTTTTCCAGTTCCTTCCAGTTTTTCTAGTTTCTTCCAGTTTCTTCCAGTTTTTTCTAGTTTCTTCCAGTTTCCAACTTTTTTTTCCAGTCCTAAAGAACAGGCCCTTAGTGCAAATTTCTCTCTCTTTGTCTTCTTGAAAATAAGAGAGAGGTGAGTGTTATTTCAACAAAACAACTCGCTTCCCCGAAGTGGAAGGCGAACTTTCACAATGGATACACCTGTCCCTGCGTCCTTGCCATGCTTTGACGATTGGGATCGTCCTCTCACCGATCTCGAACTCCTAGAAATCGAAGCCGCAATTCAATCCGCGGCCGCGAAGCAGCGCAGTTCGGACAAGTCCTCCGATGCGGAAAATGTTGCCAACGGGGACGAAACCGTCACCCGGACCCGTTGTCGAAGGCTACCCGACTCACTCTTTTCGAATTCGTTTTCCTTGTCTCCTTGCCGCAGAAGTGTATTTAAGCGTAAATGTAATGATCCACATTCTCTTTACGCTCTTGTTCTTAAGCGAATACATGAATTTATCTTATTTTTTGAACTGATCTGGGATGTTTGGGTTGCTTTAGCGAAGATGCTGCCAGAATTAGCATTCAGAGGCCGTGTTGTATATTGCAGAACTGCGGCTGAGGCTGAAAAGTCTGCAGCTGAGCTTTTGAATTTTATTGAAACCAAAAGAAAGGCACAGGGGGAAGTTTCTCTTGGACTTGATCTTGAATGGAAACCCAGTTTTAGAAGAGGTTCGTATAATATCTCCCCCCCCCCCTGCGTTACAATTTACAGATGTATCAGTTAATTGCGGAGTAGTTCAAACACTGTTGACCTGTTGTATAGGCAGTGCTTATATCTGCCAGGATAATAAGAATTACTCATTATTATCACAGAATGTTACTCTGTGTTATAATAAGGGTTGTAATCAATTGAGTACGGGCTGTGTTGAGCTTGGAGCAGGGTCATTTGCGAAAGATTTATAGTTGTTTTAAATTGTTTGCTGCAATCATGACTCAGCACTAGTCGAGTTGAGCTGAACCGAGGTTAAATTGTACTCTGTGTGTGTTCATGTTTGTTTGTTAATTGATCAAGAACAAACTCCTCTAACTCAAGCAAGCAAGCTTGTCCACAAACAGGAGACAACAAATGTGTGTGTGCCATTTATGGCCCCTAAACAAACATTCATATAAAAAGAACAAGCACCAATTTTTCACATCATTAAAACATTAAAAAACCTTCTCATTGTTCAAGCTCTACTCACTCAATACCCTAGCCCCAAACTAATGCTCATTTATGTTTACTTCATTAACCAGAAAGCACACCAAAACACAAGTTGTTCATCAAACAATATGCCCATTTAGTCATTTAGAACATGATAGTGATGGCAATGAACTGAATGGAGATCACTCTCTTATCGGCCATTCTCTTGTAAACAATGCAAAATTGTCTTGTGAACATTGATCGAGAGTTACTCTTCTCCAACAAATATAAGGCTTTGCAGTCACTTTATTAGTCAGCCGCTGGGCATTCATCTTCTATATGGAATTATATTCAACATGGCTTAGTCATGTTTGTTTTTCTTTCCTCTATTTCCTGGGGTAGGGTTTAGAATAGATTTTTTAAGGTGTGTCTCATTGTGAGGCGGTGAAAAATGCTGAAGCTTAAGCCTCATATGGTTGAGGTGTTCTGTGTGGCAAAAGCCTCTTTTTTTTGTAGTAAGTTTCTTCTTTGTTCATTTTAAAAACAAATAGAAGTTACACCGCATCTATTATTCTTTGTGTATTAGTCGCTAAGCTTTAAGCCTATTAAAATCCATACATTTTAACTGCACCACCAACAACCCAGTTGGATCCCACAAACATAGGGTCTGAAGAGGGTGTGTGTATGCAGACATTGCCTCTACTCAAAAGTAGATAGGCTGTTTCCAAGAGACCCTCGACTCATGCCACAAAGATATAAATAGACAGGAGATACATAAAGTAGAGAAAACACAAATAAATCACAAATATAGCACTAAGCACGCTGGGCAAGGACCATAAATTATTTGGAGTATCATTATATTCACACATTTCTACTTATAAAGCTCACTTATATTTGCAAAGGAAGCTTTTTATAACGTTGAGGTTAATGCCCCAAACTGCTTTGAGGCTTATGTCTTGCCTCACATATGGAAAACACTTCAAGGCTTTATAGTGCCTATTTAAACATTTGGGGAATACATAATTGTGGATATTTTTATTTTGCTTCTCTATGCAGGTGTTGCTCCTGGTAAAGCAGCTGTTTTGCAGATATGTGGGGAGATGAGCCGATGCTATGTTTTTCATATATGCCATTCTGGAATCCCTCAAAATCTGCAGACACTTCTCCAGAGCACCACTACTGTTAAGGTCAGTACTCAGTACCTGTTCATAGTCTCCAAAATTTTCTATAAAATGTAGCGTCTATTAGTTGGGAATGTTCTTAGTATGTTACCTTCACGCTATGAATGTCTAAAGGTGGGATCAAATATTGCAAATGATGCTCGCAAGATTTTTCTGGATCATAATGTATCTATTAGGAATTTGGAAGACTTATCTGCACTAGCCAATCAAAAGTTGGACGGAGCTCCCAAAAATTGGGGCCTAGCTTCATTGACAGAATCGCTCCTTTGCAAACAGGTTTGGTAACAATGCATCCCATTTGTGCTCCGATATCGCATATATACTAAAGTAATTGAATCCTAAATATGTATGGAATATCTGTTAGATTTATGAGTCAATGTTTTCAACCTTCATCAGTGCTCCCTACACTTTTTCATTGTTAACTAAAAGATCATGCTCGCCTTGCTTTATGTGATAAAGTGTTTGCCTGATTTTTGGCCTAATATATATTTGATCTTTTAGTGCTAGATTCAATTGAGCGTTTTGTATCTCTGTAGCTCCCTAAGCCAAGCAATCTAAGATTGGGAAATTGGGACACTCCGGTTTTATCCAAAGAGCACCTAAGTTACGCTGCTACAGATGCTTTTGTTTCATGGCACCTATATCAGGTAAATGATTGTCATTGGCACCCATATCTCGGATTCTTGGTTTCCATTTTCTTGGGGCTATGTTTGGTGCTTAGGAGGGAGGGAAGGGAGAAAAGTCCAAAGAAAAATGATTTTTTAATGTTTGGTTATACACTTTTACCGTGGAAAATGTAAGGGAGAATCAAATTTGATTAGAAGTTTGATTTTACATGTATTTAGATCTTTTAGAATTCATATGAACTAAGGGAAATTGAACAATTATCTAAAATTTATTTGTTTAGCATGACCTCATTGTACTGTACACCCCCCAAAAAAAAATCTCATCTATATATTATTATTTCTGTTCCTAACATTCTCCGGGTTCAAAATGAACCCTTTATACCCCCCCCCCCCCCCCACCACCCCCACTATCTCCTTTTTTGAGGTATCCCTTCTTTGCTTTGTTACAGGTGTTGAAGAGCCTACCTGATGCTCCAATGCCAAAGCACATGGACAGGGAGTGACTTATGATTGTCAATCATCTTGGTTAAGTGCCATCATTGTAAGCCAAATGTCATAGCCACTGTTTTACTTACACAGAGATACAAATAACCTGATCTACTGCCAATGAGGCACTCATAGAGTCATAGGAGTGTTACCAGCTTCTTGAACTCTCCCGCCCACGTTACCAAATTATTTTTTTGGTGATTCTTCTGTGAGTTCCTTTGGTTCTTCTCAAGTTTCTCTCTTGGAATTAATATTCGCGTTGTAAAAGACTAACATCAGAAGCCTTGTGTGTGTGCGCGTGTCCTTTATCATGCTACGGGTCACATTTTGTCAGCTCAAAAACCGTCTCTCCATTCATTAGTCCTTATATTCGAGTTGAGGTCTGTCTGCTTACAGCCCNTGATGACGTGTTTGGTTTGGCCTTGTTTGAGGTTCATTTGAGGAGTTCAGCTTGGTTTGGTACAGAGAAATTTCCCGTTGCCCCCCCCCAAAAAAAAAGGAAAAAAAAGCTTAATTGCAAGTGCAGGAGTATTCTTGGCATGAGCTTTTTTGTCCCTAACGTGAAGTCATTGGGAGGAGTCTAATTTGATCGTGGAGGCACCCCCAGAATGGCAAATTGATGATCTTAAGCAGTAGAGCTACAGAAGATTGGTCACTCGTGATTGTTGTTTTTTTCTTGTCATCATGAATTAAACATTGCTCTATTCATTTATTTTTTTATTACTGTATTTTTTAATTGTTCTAATTATAGATGTTTCTTGAAGACGGAGTAATTTGATACTGCTATGTATTTTATTGGAATTTTAATGTTTCATGGAGGATACAGTATAATGTTTACTCTGTACTTTCTAATTATTTCATTCTTTAGCTTAATGGGAAATGTTGGTTCACAAACATACTATTTGTGAACTTCAATAAATAAAATTAAATAGTTAAAAATAATTTTAAAATGAAAATTTAATCCATAAATAGTAAGTTTGTGAAGTTTGTGAATATCTTGTTTGTGAACCTAACATTGCTCATGTAAAATTTAAGAAAAGTATTTAATAGTACTCCCTTTAATATGTAGAGTTGAAGTTTGTTTCGAAGAAAGAAATATTGTGTGCCAATGTACATCCATTTCTCTAAGTCTCTGTTTGGTATACAGAATTGATGTAATTGAAATTAAAATTCCATATGATTCAATTCCATAGAATTGAATTCACCAATTTCAATTCATTTTTTGTACTATTAATTTCAAATCCACATGATTTTTGTGCTACCAAACTCCATAATTGAAATTGAAGTCCTCAATTTCAATTCCATATACCAAACGGGGCCTAAAAGGAATTGAAAGATTCTAAAATATTTACATAAGAAAAATGACAATGTTCTTTATATTAAGTAGTGTAAACAAAATAGTACTGGAGTAGTTTGTTACTCTCTCTATCTAGTAAGGTTACATTGACACCCAAAATGGGTGACATCAATCAAATTGAGGTTCTAGTCTAACTTGAATCCCCCCCCACACTCTGTCAATTGAGCTCTCCAAATTTAATAAATTTGGGGTAAAATTATTTGATTCTGAGATTAACTAAAATTTTGGACCAATTGACAGGGGTGCAGAGGTGTATTTGAGTTGTGGTCCGAGATGAAGAGTTTACCGAAAAGTAGATAACGTTTTTTTAACAGAACATCGCAGAGGTCTTAAATTAAGCGGTGTTGCAATATGACACTCAAAATGAGTGTAATGATAACCTTGCCACTCTTTTGTCCATTAGATGATTCAAGCTAAAAGAGAATTTTTTGTTGCTTTAGGTAGCTAGGAAACATATGAACAAAAAGGTGTCTACTCTAGTGGTGGTCGACTTCTTAGATGGCGGAAGCCTCAAAATCATGAATGGACCCTGAATCATCAATCTTCTTTCTCTTTCTTTTCTGTAAAACAAATAAATACCCAAAGCAAATCAAAACAAAAGCACAGCCAATGGAGAAAATAGAGGAAGAGGAAAGAATACTTCTGTAACTCACCCTTCAAGAAAGAAACAAGACATTTCCCGGATCCAAGAAAAAAGACGTAATGTCAAGGATCTCGAGTCAAACAAGCACCTCAAAAAAAAGACATAATGTCAAGGGATCTCGAGTAAAATAGTCAAACAGCTACAAGCACACATCAACCTTCTCTCTTCTTCAAAGACGTCAACAGTTACGAGCACTTGGCGTCTGACTTCTATCGTCTCAAAGTTTTTAGTTTCTTGCTAGTGTCCAAGCTTGTGTCTGCTTCTGGTTGTGCCTTAGCTGTTGTCCACAACAAAGTGATTGTCCTTTTTCTAATATTGAACTCAGGAGCCACACTTTTGACAAACCCTCTCTGAGTAGTTTGTGTGCCCATGATGTTTGTTTTTGCTTGTGGTAACAACTTGTCAAATATTCCCTATCTTTCCAAGTCTGATAGCATTTTGTCCTTTTACCTGGTGTGTTTTCGAATTGTGTGTGTAGTGTCTGTGCTGGTATTAACGACTCTATCTTTGAGATTGATATGGTTGTGAAGACAACACTAGACTAAAGAAAAAAAGCTATCCCACATGGTAAGAAGAGAAAGAAGGCTAGAGATTTTCTCACATGGCAGGAATAAACAATGTGAGAAAGGAAGAAACTGGCAATGAAGAAAGAAAACAAGAAGCTTGCAGTGGAGACGGAAAGAAAGAAGGTTGCAGGCTTGCAGCGAAAGAGTTCCCAAGCAATCTAAAAATGGAAAGTACTTATAGACTTTAGATTTGGGTGGGAACTTTTCACTTAGTAGAGGGAAATGAAATTTTTTGGCTAATTTGGGCAATTAAAATGCCGTGCAATGTGGAATATGTAGTTTTTGGTAATGATTGACTTGTACTTTTAACTTTTGAATTTGTAATGGTTATGTATCAAATCATAAACTTTCTCTTGCTTTTTCTTTTGCAAAATATACAGATAACCCACTAAAGAGTAATATCGGAATGTCAAAGAAAATTTTACGTAATAGATTTTTTAAAGTGCGTGCTGGATTGAACCGCGGATTTTTTTGTGAGCCGGAGGGAGTAGTAATAGTAATAGGATAAAGTTATTTGTATCTCAAGAGTTTGAACCCCATTTGTACACTGCTTGTGCGATGTGTGCACCAACATTTTGTGTTGGTATAATGTTAATTTTTGTTAACGCACCAATATTTTATGTCATTATAAACTATCAAAATCTTAGTGTATACCTTTGGTGTATAAATAATGTAGAATTTTTAGTGTAATTGTAACATGGTCCGTAGTAATAAACTGATAATAAGGATGTTTTGGTGGAGCTCTAACTTCCCTCCCACCCGTCCACTACTCCACAATGCCTCTCCCTTCGTAAAATAACTAACCCAAGTACCCATCTCTCAAATGTGAAATGGAGAAACCAGTTGCATAATCAGATAAACGGCCAACAAAAAAAATAACCAATCCCTGCAATTTGAATTTCGGCGGGTGAATTTTCAATCAGGTGAGGCTGTGTTCAAGGCAGATTTAATTACCACGAATTAGGGTTAACAACTTTAATCGAGTTCATTGTGTCGCGGCATTGTTTCATTTCTCCATTTTTCTCAAAGATGTTAGAATTTTTCGTCGATTTACATTCCTAATTCTCCAATAATCCAGCTTATTTTCAACTGTTGCTCTTTCCAAACCCGCTATGGTTGTCTTCTTCAAGTTAAAGTTTGGTTTCAGAATAAAATAATCCCTTATTTTTTTCTGCAGTTTTGATTTCTAACATCAAGGTTTCAAATTTTTTTTGTGATTTCCTTTCTTTCTTTGGTATATTACCCTCTATCTTTAATAGTTTGAGGTTTTTTTATTGGTGATGTTTATATTATGGCTTTTTTGAAATGCACCTTGCTCCAAGCGTACCTAGTTAGGTAAAGTTCAAATTTTTGTATGCAACTCATGCTCTTATGTTTGAATTCTACTGAGTATCTTGTATCAAATAGGTTACATCACTTATATTGGAGAGTTTGAATGCGTTTTTCCCCTAAAAACACAGTGCATTTTTGGGAGGCCGAAGATTGTATAGGTCAGTTATGAGTCTGCCAACACTGGCATTTAGAGGCCGAGTTATATATAGTAGAACTTTGGGCCAGGTTGAAAGATCAGCAGAAGAGATTCTCCATCTCATTGAAGAGAAGAGAAGGAAAGAAGAGAAGGTTGCTCTTGGATTCGACATCGAATGGAGACCAAGTTTCATAAAAGGTCTGCTTTTCCATTATCCTTGCAAAAGAAAAAACAAACACTGATAACTTTTGTCATGCCAAATTTATAGGAAAAAAAATAGATGCTCATAACAGTTTACTTGCCTGAGTGGCATGGTTTAGTAGTTTACGGAGTATTATCTTTTTTCTTCCCTTTTTGTGTTTGAGCAATGCTTCATCGTTTTTTCTTATATTGTTCTGCAAGTCAAATTTTTTTCAGTATGTCTTCCGGATCAAAGCTGTCAAAGACTTGTTTCAGAATTAAAATTGTAAATGAATTTATTGTTTCTTCTATCGTTACCATGCCCAGGGCTGGTCCATACAGTTTTCGAGCTCTGTGCAGATCTAATGATAAGGCTGCTATAGTTTTCCTTGAAAGGAATGTAACTTTTTTTGGAACGGACGAGAAAAAAGTGAAACAATTACTGCGGGAGAGATGGAGTATAACATGAGAATGGCTGCCTCGGTGCAGGTGTTTCACCAGGGAAGGCTGCTGTTATGCAGATCTGCGGTGACTCGGACAATTGTTATGTTTTCCACATCATTCATTCTGGAATCTCTCAGAACCTACAATTGCTTCTTGAGAATTCTGCAATACCAAAGGTTCAACTTTTGTTTTGAAACTTTCTGGAATTCCATATAAACACAAACCACCTCCTTGTTAAAAATATAGTTCTAATTAATACTGGTGTGATTCTTGGTTTGTGGTATAATTATATAGGTTGGAGTAGGGATTGCAGGTGATGCTAAGAAGGCTTCCATAGATCATAATGTATGTGTTAGTAATTTGGAAGATCTGTCTGCATTGGCAAAGCAAAAGTTTAAGCAAGGTCCTCTAAAATGGAGTTTAGCATCCCTAGCTGAAAAACTTCTTCATGCAAAGGTTCTTATTTGTAACTTATTTTTTGGTTTATGGCATCCATCTTTTTCTTTCAGATCTATTCTAAAAATCTTTACCTGTCACTTTGCTTTCCATTTAACATTGGTTTTAAGTCTTCAACCTTTCTACTGTTGAGTATCCTGCATAAGTTTTGAGTTATCTATTGGGTGTGAGTGGAGTATGTAACTCTGAGGCCCGGTAAAGGTTAACTTTTAGGATTTTTGGGGGTGAGTTAGACCTAATTTAGCATGGCATGAGGGCTAGTCCAATGGTTGTTCCCTTGTTTTTTGGGGTGCCCCCCCTACCCTTGATTGTTCAGGCAGCCTTTTTTGGGGATGGTTTTGGGTCTACCCTTCAGTTGTCAAGATTATGCACACACATCTATTGGGTTTTAAGTCCATTTCAAAATTTGAATGTTCCATTCCTGATGATAGGAACCCTTTTTGTCTTACTTATAAATGCAAGAATGAATTGAAAGGTTTTGTATCCTTGCAGCTACCTAAGGGGAACAGTGTGAGATTGGGAAATTGGGAGACTAAATATTTATCCAAGAAACAACTTGATTATGCTGCCACAGATGCATATATTTCATGGATCCTATATCAAGTAATGTAAATGAGGACCCTTTTCTACTTAACTCATTCCTCCCTTCCATTCTCTTTATTTATTTATCTATTGTCCACCCTTTGTATAAGAGGGTTACTTTTTAACACACTCATCATATTATGACGCATGCCATTTGAGGGTCTTAGGGGGTTCCATTCGAACCCAAAATGGTCCCTACCCCGAGCCCTCTTTCTGCCAGCCCCTAGTACCCTCCACTATAATTTAACACCCATGTCATGCAAGGTTTTTAAGGTGCTTCGTTTGAATCCAAAATGATTCCTACCCCTTAACCCCATATAACCGTTCTTCAGCCAGCCCCCTAGTGCCCTACGAAATGTCATGCAAGGTTCTTAAGGTGCTTCGTTTGAATCCAAAATGGTTCCTACCCCTTAACCCATATGACCGTCCTTCAGCCAGCCCCCCTAGTGCCCTACGAAACCTAGGTAAGGTACAAAGGGCTAGGGGATTTGTAGGGGTAGAAATAATTGGGGGTCAAACAGAATAGCGTAGGACATTCAAATGAGGACACTCCCATGAGTGGTGTCAAATGAGCCCCACTCCCTTTATATTCACAATTTGGTTGCTACAGGAACTGGTGATGCTCCCTGACGTTGTTGATAAAGAGGGAATTGGGGACGAGAACAGTGTGGTGAGGGGTCCCCCCCAGTAATATCCTTGGAAATCTAACGGGTTCCACATAAGATTTGTGAAGTGACGGTTATACCCCCGCCCCCCATTTTTTTCTGTCGTGATCTGTGAATTAATTAATCTCACTTATTTACTGCTTAGCTGTTTGGTGCCCTGTAATTATTTGTACTTCTCGTATAAGACAGAGGACTCTGATTTTCTAAGCTGTAGAAAAAAAAAATGTTCTTTTTTTTTTTTTGCTAACACAGGAGGATTGGTAGTTAATACATCGTGCACGAGATTTAGGGAGGGGTAGGTACATTTCATTTGAAAAGTATTTTCATAAAAACTTTCTTTCCTCTAAAAATAATTTTTTGAAGAAGCTTTCCTTTAATATTTTAAAAGATGAGGTTTAAAAAATATTAAGTATAAATGTGGGGTTTTAAAAATGTTTAAAAGGAAGATTTTTAAAAGTATGAAACATAAGAGTTGATTTGTAACAAAGTTTCCTTGTTAAGATAAATATGTGAGGACCTGAATCCTTGGTAAATTATATACGGGGGTATTATTATAATGCTACTATGGGTAATAAAATCAAGATTATTATGACTACATATATTTTCATCCTAATACCGTAGTTAAATTAATTTTTTTAAACCGAATTTGTTAGATTCACTCATATGAATTTGGGATATATTACCTTAATAGTGAATTCACAGTTCTAGGTAAAAGGAGTGAATTTAATCACATAGACCTTGCTTGAGAATAATACTCTTAGTTAATGTTACATTTTTTTTAAATATTTTATAATAATTTAGTAGTATAGATTAATTTTAAAAATTGTAAAATTAAACATTGTCATTAAATAACTTTTTTTAAAGATATTAAAGTTTAAATATGAAATTGGTGCAAAATGTGAATTTAATGACTGAAAATAAAATGTGAGCTACTATGAATAACTGAAAATGGAAAGGGGGGATTGGGAAGCTGTTGAGCATTGACTAACGTGGCATTTGCATGTGCTGTGGGCATGCTGGCAGTCAATGCCCTCCATATTTTTAATTAATTACTTAATTAATTAAATAATTATGCAATTGGCAGGTTTATCATAGTACGGCGCATTCAATTAGTTATTACTAATTCATGAACGGTCAATAATTCATACTCCACTTGACTTCTGGTTTAAGTTAAACTGCAGTAGTTTTTCAATTTTGTGAATTTTCACTAAGAATTTCATAAGGAAAAAACACCAAATACGTCATAGAAAATTTGTAATTTTTTTAATAATTTCATAAGAAATTATTTCTTCGGTTTCAAAATTTATCAATAAAAACAAGCGTTGTAAGGCCCTCAAGAGAAATAGAAAAATAATGAGAAGATTCATTGTACACAAATTCATTTGTACTCCGTACACCATTAATATGCAATAGAACAATAATTACACTTCATCCGTCTTAAAATATTTGTCACATTATGAAAAATGGAGTGAAATTTTAAGTTTTTTTAAAAATTTATTTTATTCAAAGATTAATATAGAAATAAAAAAATGAAATTAACATGTTTAAAAACTAAATTAGAAGTTCTTCAAAACAAAATGTGATAATAATGTGTTATTTTATCAAATAATCAATCAAAATGTATTAAATTGACAAACAAAAGTCTCTATAACTTTTGAATTGTGAACCGTCATACTACTTCCATCTTATTGTATTCGTTTGGTTTGACTTTTCGTAGTCAAACTAGACAAACTTTGGACCTCAACTAAATAAAATAGTACTCGTAATGTGTATATACTATGAAAATAATTTTATTAAATTTATCTTTTATGAACTTCCAGAACATGATTTTATAATATTAATATGTGCAATAGAAATTAAACATAATTGATGATTAACATTTGTTAAATTGACTGAAAAAAGTCTAACTTGACAAAAAATGATCACAAAAGAAGTAATTTTTTCAGGAGAGAGTAAAATATACAGTACAGAGCAGGAACTAAAGAAGGAATCAAGGGCCTCGAAGTCAAAGAGGGTCAATTTTTTATTGTGAATTCCTTATCAAGTATAGTTGTTGGTTTGTCATCAATTGTTAATTGTGAGTTTTTTAAAAATTCATTTAAGTGAACTTTGTCATCTCAATTCTCAAATAACAACGGAGTATCAATTAGAGTATTTTTCTTGAAACATTAAAAAAATGCCACATTACACAAAATGAAATGAGTTATCTGTTTCTTTAATTAATTTTATTTGACATAAAAAAATAAGAAATTACTCTCTCCGTCCCAAAAAGATTTACACCTTTCAAAAAAATTGCGTCTCACAATCTCTTACCCATTTCTATTAAAAAAACACTTTTACCCCTTACTTTTTCAAACCCTACCTATCACATCATACATTTTTTTACACATCACATCTTACTTTTACATATCAAATCAAGATTATTTTGGGAAAGTCAACACAAAATTATCCCTCCCTTAATTTTCACTTTAGTCAAAATGTGTAAAATTTTTTGGAACGAGGAAGTACATATTTAATAACAACGTGAAAAATGCTAGGAAATAGAGGTGAAAAATTATTTCCTCCGCCCTCCAATAATCCCACCCTTAGAGCATCTCCAAGGGCTAAGTTAAGAATTGGATTGGTAAATACTCCGTATTATTTTAGCAAACAAAAATTGTTTTACTTATTCATTTCTCAATAACCTCTTCAATCATGATGTGTGTGTCTATATATATATATATATATATATATATATATATATATATATATATAGGGGCTGGTTCCCGTGAGAATGCACCTTGTGGAGAGAAATGAGAATAAAATCTAGCCGTCGGATCTGATGCATCGTGCGGCTCAGATTGCATCCTTGAGATAGTGCATTTTCGAAGGTTTATGGTGCATTTCGACGTGATGCATTTTCGCACCATTTTGGTGCATCTAATTTTGATGAAATCTTGACCCTTAGATCTCACAATCTAAAGCACCAGATTCATTCTCATTTCTCTTCTAAGATTGCATTCTCACCAGAACCAAAATCTATATATATATATATATATATATATATATATATATATATATATATATATATATATATATATATATATATATATATATGATGTCGAGAAATGTTAAGGGTTGACCAAATAATGTATTCTAAATGTACATCATTAGTTTTGTAACTACAAATTTTTATTCTTTTTCTTTTTCATTTATTTACACACAAAAAGCACACTACCTCTGTTCCAAAATGTAAACAACACCTCACTATTCAAAAATCACGGAAATTTTTATTTATTTTTCATTTTCATTGATTATTTCATAAAATAAAATATTCGTATTACTACTTGTTTCGTAGAACTTTTGACGTAGTTTTTAAATAAGTAAATTTTATTTTTTACTCCCTCCGTCCTAAAATTTTCTTCCCAGAGCACTATTCTAAATTCACGGGAATTTATATTTATTTGTGTTTTTTCATGGCCTATATGATAAAATAAAATATTCTTGTCACCACTTATTTTGTTGAACTTTTGATGTAGTTTTTAAATATGTATGTTTTATTTTTTATTTCTATACCAATATTTAAATAAAATAGATTGAAAAAACTTGGGATATTTCTTCGTTTTGCGCAACGGGAAGAAAGATATAGGACGGAGTGAGTATATGTAAACCATTTTTTAAATAAAATGAATTAAAAAATTTAAATAATTACTTTGTTTAGCGTAATCTTATTTACATATTTGGAGAGAGGAAATACAATTTAAGAAACGGGTGGATATATTTGGAAGACACTTCTAGTGTACCCAATCATTTTTCATATGATGGCCAACTTGCAAATTGACCAAATAAAAAAGAAGTTTTAGACATTGAAAGGCATATTATTATGCGCGTTTGGGCATTTCTCATTTTCCAATGGGAAACCGCACCCGTACTACACCCAGCTTGGCAGTCCATTCTTAACCTCGGATTCTATAATCCAAACAGGTTTGCGGCTGGCGTCGAATTACAGAAGTGCCCCTGAGCTTGCTGGAAATTACGTTATTGCTCAAGAAAGTTCTTCTGCCGACACAGGTACATGAGTGCGAGAGAACGTGTCACGGAAAAAGTATACGGACGACTATATTATTGGAACTAGAGAATTACTAGTTATAATTTTATGGAAAAATAATACGGAGTAATATTTTTTATTACAAATTATAAATGATATTTTCTATTATGATACAAATTTAATATAACTGGATTTATTTTAAAATGTAAAGAAAAAAATCACAATTCAATTAAAAATATAGAATGGAGGGAGTATAAAGCTTTTTAATACCAAAATTGGATAGATCAATAAGATCATTACTCAAAAAAATTGCGTAAACCAAATTTAACAATACAGCATTATTTTGTTTTTAAATTTTATGAAATGAAGTACTCCGTATTTCATCTGGCTCAAAATAATACTTTCATTGTGAGTTATGATGATTAATTGAATTAATTTTCGGCTTAATATATTTAAATAATGGTACACAATTTTTTAAAAAATAAAATTTATACGGATTTTATTATAGTTCTCTTTAAAACAAAAACTTATGTGAGACGAATGTTATTTTAATAAATAATTAACGATATTAACTAAAGTAAAAAGAAATAAATAATTTTTTTATAGAAAGAAATTAAAGCTTCCAAAAAGAAAAGAAATTAAAAAGAGGCAAAGTGGGACGCCAGGTCGTTCTTTTGACGAATTTAACCTTGGCATGTCGTTTCACAGCTATTACCGTTGAAAACGACGCGTGTAAATTGCAGAGGTAATTTCAGTAATCGTTGTTCCCTTTTAATTTATCCAAAATCTAACCCAATTACTCCGTATTTTTTTGGTGGGATCGAATCGGATGGGAATCGAATTAGACCATGGATCAAAGATCGGATTGGGACCGAATCAGATATTCAAATTTGGTGCAAATGGTCCGTATCTGTTTTGGGCCGTAATTAAATTCCCTCCACAATTTTAAAAATAATTGTATATTTTTCCAAATTTTGCTTTCTTATTGACTTACATACTCTAGATTAATATTTCTATCTCAAAGTATTTGTTAAGTTTTTAATTTTTTATTTATAATTGATAAATTTTGATTATTAATTATATATATATGTATATATATATATATATATATAATGAATCATACAGTCTCCATATATGATAGGAGAAGTATTAACATCTTCAAAGGAAATAAATGGTGTAATTATTAAGTGATACTAGAGATAATTGAAACTTGATCTCAATCAAAATTAATGGTGCAACTTTTAAGTGATACTAGAAATCGTTGAAACTTAATCTACAAAAAAAAGAAGATGATGTAGTGTTAGGTGATACTTGATG